ATTTGAAAATGTCGACCATTTTTATAAATATTAAAAAATTAAAAAAGATTTAATTATATGTAAATATACAAAACAATAATATCCCTTTCTAATCAATTATCGCAAATATTGTTGCTGCTTTTCCGCAATACTGATTAGTTGACTCGATTAACATTGTGTGTTATATTAATAGCATCAAATAATTGCTATCATGATGATAAATAGTTTGACAGTTGCAAAATAAATAATAAAAATAATATTAATAACGCGCGCAAAGCGCATAAAAATACATTAATTAATTATATGCAACGCATAAAAATTCAATATTTAAATCTTTAACAGAAAATACAAACAAAGAAATAAAATTTTCTACAAGAATCCTTTGTAATCAATTATCTATGCTTTTATTGGACTCGAGTGAGACTTCATACCCTACACATCCATCACACTGCGCGGCTCGCGCGAAACTGATTCTCGTTCGAGGTATCGCAAGCGCGAAACCGAGGTCACGTGGCCACTAGTCATGTGACCATCTGTTCCGCGCTCGTGATACCCCGTACAAGAATCAGTCTCGCGCGAGCCGCGCACCGTAGTGGGTGTGTGGAATGTACTAATATGATCACGTGATCAGTTTCGCGCGAGCCATGTTACGTAGCGGACGCATACAGAGGCACGAATCTAATGGAAGTGCAGATATTTTGATCGATAGATTTTTGTAGAAAATTAAATTTTTTACTTTAAAAAATTTATATATTGAGTTTTTATGAACCACGTAATTATTAAATATATATTTTTATGCATGCGTTGCAATAATAATTTTATACATGCATTGCAATTTTTAAGGTTTTACTATCAAAGAATAATATAACTACGCTTCACGTACGTAATTATATTCGATCACGTTCGTAATTAAACTTAACAAAATGAGAAAAAAATATATAAAAAGATACATATATACAAAATAATTTTCAAACAATATAATACTAATTCGGTAAATTAAAATTATGTACATAATAGAAATTTGGCAAATTAAAATTATGGTCATAGCATTAAGCAACTATCATTCCAAAAATTAAAAATTTGACAGTTGTAAAATACTTAAACAATAGAAATGATACAAAAGAAGCATGCGCTCATGTTGTCTATAGTTTTTATAAGTTTTACATGAAAAGAAAACGAAATCAAACAATTGATTTATTTAATTAATTTATTGATTTATTTATCTGTATGATACGCGAGCGAAACGTTTTACAACAAGCAATTTTAATTTGAGTATCTCAAAAAATAAACAAAAAATGTTTTATTTATAGTTAACGAAATTAATTTTAATTAATGTTTAAAAGAATATACATATAAAATATATGTATATTATATTTAATATATGAAAAAATATTAAACACAATGAATTTTCAATATGGTAGTAAAAATGTGACTAAAAACAATGAAAAATATAATTATGACAAAATAATTTTTTATTAGTATAAAAATATGCTTAATAAAAACTTATTGCATAATGTGTATAAAACTTCAATAGACCGCAAATAATGTATATTATATTTAAGTATAAAACGTGTAAAGTTGTTACTTACTTGTTCTATTATTAATTCTCCAGCATAACAATAGAAAAACATTTGTAATAAAAAAATAATGATAGCAAACATCATGTAGCATATTTGTAAGAAATTCTCAGCATTTATCTTCTCATTAGTATTAATTTCCTGAATAAAATTTTACTAATTATTAAAAATGGATCAATAATAATAAAAATAATAATAATACATAAATGCACACTACATCATGCACAAACTACATATACGTATCTTAGAAATTAATAAAACACATTTAACACAGTTTTATTTTAATATATGTTGCCAGAACTTACAACAAGCAATACGAATCCAGCTAGACAAAATACAATGGCAAAATACATTATCGATCCTAGCATCATTAAAGTGAATAAACTTTTGATATTATTAACGTACCTTCAAAAATAGAATACATTAAATATAGTTATTGTATATTAACATCAATAAAAACTGTACTTAATATAAATTGTACAAAAACACACGATTAATATTATACAATACATATATGATAATTATCTGATAATAACATATATAGTTATAGATAATTTTCTCGCGCATTGTAAGTGCATTGAAAATCACAATAAAATTTTCAAATTTGACAAATTAAATTTTAGAATCGCAATATTTTGATATAATTTAAATATTTTAAATGTAAGTAGAATGCACTATTTTTACAAAGAATGGTCTGCAATTTAATTTAAATACAAAACTTAAAAAAAAGATAAGAAGAAATCTCATTTATATATATAATAATATTTTTTAATCATCGAATATTATGCATTTAGATCACATAAAAAGAAAGTTAAATATAAGAAAATAAAAATATTTAATTAAAAATCAATTTCTTCAAAAGTTTTGTTAAACTTTTGAAATTCTATCGTATCATAATTAAAATCCACACCTGATAAGTTTTAAGTGAGTCATTACGTTATTATTCAGAACTTTGTCGAATTCCTTTCCCGGGATCAAATTGATTAATCGACGTCTGAAATTTTCTAATTGACCGCAGACATGAAAAATCACGAATACGAAAAAAGTGTCTATCGACATGTAAATTATCATAGCTAAAAACAGCGATATGACTTGAGTAAGATATGTTAACTCGAACTGTGGACTCTTATCTGTATCGTATAAATAATATGTTTGCAGCAATAATGGTCTGTTTCGATCCGTGAGATTTGTCACATGCCTGAACGATAAACCGAACCAAGGTAACATAGTTACTACAATTATTGTCAGTATCAACAGAACATTTAAATATATTACAAACAGTCGAGCAGTTCGCGAACGCTTTATCATTACATTCCTCTCTGCATCTATCAGATTCAACGACATCCAATCTTCTCTAATCATGTTTATAATTGATAAGAGAACTTGAAAATGTAAAAGAAGCGATATCAAAAATATGAAAAATAATTAAATAAGTTATTTTTAATTATTGACTGTTTGTTAATTTATGTACATCGAAGAAAGTCACATAAAAGAGACACATATTATATATACAGTTAATTATAAGTATATAATTTTTGATCTTTAATATTTTTGAAATATATAATAATAAACAATGATAACAATATTTTCTGCAATATGACTATAATAATAAATTAAGTGCAGTAATAGAGTTCGACAAAGACGAGATCTATATGTATAGCTACATCAAATCTTATTATATACGTACATATATGTTCTAATATAAATCATACCTGATTGTTTTCGTTGCATAATAATATATTTTAATAAAATCATCAGCGCAGGTAATGTAACTCGCAAATTGTCTATCATTAGCGTCATGTTACCCCAAACTCGTATAAGTGCATGTACAAGAGGAATACCCCAGACAAATGTTAGCATAATACAAATGAAAGCCGCACGATAGTTAGAACCGAGATTTTTTTTAGCAATTCCATCAAATTTAGGCCATAATCCGACCAATTCTAAGCTCAGGCGGTTTAATTCAATTGCCCATACGAAATCTTTAAGCAAGACTTATTTAAAAAAACTTGTTATAATTACAAATGCCTAAATGTAAAATTTTTTCAAAGCGATAAAAATGTAATGGATGTACAATACATATTATATAAAATAATACAATATTTATAGTACTAATTTAAAAGCATATTGAAAATTTAATTTAATACATATAAATGAAAAATGTATGATATAAGCTTATTCATACCTTTGTAACCTGAAGATTCCGACTTATCCATGTCAAAGGCCAATATAAATGCGTGAAGAGAATAATTCCCTCTCTATGATGTTAAACGATTATCACATGCTTGTAAGGCGAATACAGCAACCTAACTGCATCGTCGAAGGCTACATTAAATATTTAAAATGCTACTATAGTCTTTTACAGTTGCCTGTTTTGTAAAACTTTATAGACGTATTAATAGTTACAAACTATTATCTGTTTTCTTCTTCTCTGTTTTTTTTGACAGGCCGAGATGTATATTGTATCGCTATATATCATCGGTCTTGTACTAAAAGTTTTTTCGTACTTTAAAACTTTGTTACGTTTCATGTACGTTCGTCTATTGCGAAGATATAGTAGCGTGTAATTACAGCGTGTTGTGTGGTTGAAAAAATTTTCCTTAAAGCGAAATACAGCAAAAAAAAGAAAAAAGAAAAAGGTACAATAAAGTGGTAGCGTCGCTTTACCGCTTTACATAATTTTCATGTTTGCAAGAACACATTCGACGTAATACGAGTGCAGTGAACGGACAAATATTTTAAATTGCAAATTTCTTCTTTTAATATACGAGAGAAATATTTAAACTTATAGTTTTCATCAAGCTATTTTTAAAGCAATTATGATTGTAATTTTTAAGCAAGAATAATTACGAGCCCATAAAAACACAGAAAATACATAAATGAAATAAAACGTTATTTTTCTATAAGAAATATAATTATTAATTTTTATTAATTATTTTAAGTGGAGAAAAACATATCCTGCAATTGCAAAAAAAGGAAGACGGACAAGGCACAGAGAAACTCAGTGATTTCGGTGCAAGAACTTTTATTTTCACGTGCTATAACAAGAATGACAAAAGCGCACATGCATCAGGTAATGGAAAATCACTTTGACAACGACATTAGCGAGACATGTATCACAGAAAGAACAAAATGTCTAATTGTAAGTACGTATTTCATTATGATTGGTTGCACACTCAGACATATATGTGCGAGAAACAATAAAAACTACAATTAAGAAAAAAGTTTAACAAGTTCCATTTTATTCGAATTGAGAAGAGCAACCTTTTTTTATCGAAGCATATCTGGACATTATTTCCTATCACATGATAATGTATTTTACAATAAATTAATATCATAAATGTCCATCAAGCATATATAAACAATATAATATTTTCTGCAATAATATTAATTTAATTTTCATATTTTTTATCAAATAAATAATACTACATTACTATATGAATTTCAATTCCGCATTGCTAGTAGGATAGATACGTAGCCAGCCGATGTTTTTAATAGCTAAAAATAATATATATAAATCTTAAATAGCAAATAGCTCAACTATGTAAAAGCTGATTGTTAATAATCTTACGCTGCAAAAAGTGGTCATCGTTAGCGGAAGAACTTTTCCAGCAGTAATACGAAAGGGTTCCTTAGTTAATAACATTAACGGAATAAGGTTTTTCGCTTCGCGCGATTTCCATGTATACCAATCCAAATTGCAAATAGTATAGTATACTGCATCGCACTTAATAAAAATGCACACATACATACACACACACACACACATACACACACATATTATATATTATACATATATATGGACAAATATTAAACACATATAATTTATATATATATATATATATATATATATATATATATATATGAATATGCAACTTACATGTTCTGTTATTAATTCTCCTCCAAAGCAGTAGAAAAACGTTTGCGTAAGTAAACAGATGAGCACAACTACTGTGTAACTTATTTGTGAAAAATTTGCATTGTTTATATTTTCGTCAGTAATTACCTAAATAATTCAATCTTGTCAATTAATAAAAATAGATAAATATGAAGTAGATAATTACGTCACATGTACGTCAACAAACTATATATGTTATATTAGAACTTACAGTAAGAAATATAAATCCGCATAGACAAAATACCATACCAAACTTGAGTACCAATACAAACAATATAAATGTAAATGTATTTTCGACATTATTGGCATATCTGCATGAACGTATTTATATATAAAAACATATTAATTATTGACAATCTCATGTTTAACATAGTAATTATAATTACATTTAAAAATAATTTTTATCTAATACTATATTATTTATCAAGTTTATATTTCGATATTTTTTAATAATAATATGTATAAACAGTCTTTAAATTTTGTTTATTAAAAACAATAATTTAAAAGTAAAATAAAAATAAAAATTCAAATAAATGAGGAGTCTCAAAATTTTTATAATTTTAGTCAAAAAAAGATTCCAAATTCCAATTTTAAATAAAATAAAAAAAAAGAATGTAAAAAAAAAATGTGACAAATGTGAAAAACTATGACACAATACGCTAAAAATATCAGTATACAAGTAAATAAGTTTAAAGTGAGAGAGAATAATGTCTATGACTTAACTAATAAGTTATTATATAATAATTTAAAAATTCTTTTTCAAGATTTCATCTTTCTCAGAATTAATTCTGTGAAAATTTTATTATCAATTTAATTATTTTATTTATATTTTTACAGTCAAATCCTACCTTATCAGACGTAAATGAGTCACAACGCAGCTACTCAGAGCTTTATTGAAATCTTTGCCTGACGTCAAATTGACTATGTTATGTTTAAAGTTTTCTAACTGACCACACATATGAAGAATCACCAACCCCAAAAGTGCATTTACCCCAACGTAAATTAATAATGCTACCAAGACTGTTATGGCTTGAGCAAGAAACGTCAACTCAAATTGCAGACTTTTATCAGTGTCGTAAACGTAATAAGTTTGCATAGGTAATGGCTTATTCCGATCCGTGAGATTGGTTATCTGTCTGAGTGGTGCGTCGAAATAAGGGACAATGATGTAAAAAATAAATGCCAATGCTGTTGTAACGTAACTATAAATTATTATTAGTCGAGCGGTCCAAGCGCGCTTTATCATTACATCCCTCTCTGCGCTTAACTTTAGCGTCAACCAATCCTCGGCTATCATGTTTATGATAGATGACAGAACTTACAAATATAAAAAACGCGCAATCGGTAAAAAAATATAGACATTACATTAGCAGTTACTTGTGTGTTAATATGCATATCGAAACGAAAACTATCGTAAATATAACATAATTTATTCCAACAATAAAAATACATTGCGATAATAAAATATGTACATTTTTTATTTCGTTATTATAATCAGATGTGTGATTAATTAGTAATAAGTCAAACTCTCTAAAAGGATTTTACGAAGAAATAAAATGTGAATGCTTTGCATCAAATAGTTCTAGACATACCTGTTCGTTTCCATCGCATGATAACAAGTTCAAATAAAATTGTTATCAAAATTAATGTAAGTCGTAAGTTCTCTATCATTAGTGTCATGTGGCCCCAAACTCGCATAAGCGCATGTACCATAGGAATACCAGTAACTAGTGCTATCATAATAAAAGCAAAACTCGCAAGAATGTCAGAACCGAATCTTCTTTTAATGATTCCGTCAGTTGTCGGCCATAAACCAACTATTTCTAAATTCAGACGGTTTAATCCAATTGCCCATATTAAATCTTTAAGTAAAATTATTTTTTTCTAACTTAAATAGTAATTATTTTACAAAATATAATTTAAATATATAAATATATTGTAATACACTTTAAACTTAAAATCATATTGGAAATTTAATGTACATTATAAGTGGAAAATATAAATGACATATAGGCTTCGTACCTTTATAACCTGAAGATTCCGACTTGTCCATTTCGAGGACTAATATGAATGTGTCGAAGAGATGGTGATCATCGTATTCTCTTCCCATTTATGATAAAATAACTATCACGCATGCTCGCGAAACGAGTGCAATAACCTGGATGCGTTATAGAAGGATGTATTAAATATTAATGATGCTACTTCTACTCGTTTTCAGTTCTCTGTTTCGTATTAAAACTTTATAGGAGGAATAATACTTGCAAACTTATTTTTTGCTTCCTCCTTTCATTTTACAAGATGTATACATGTAATGTATATTGTATAGCTTATATATTATTGATTTTATATTAAAAGTTTTTCGTACTTCTCTACATCCCATGTACCTACATGCGCTTACTATGAATAAGATAGACACGTAATTACATATTATGTGGTTGAAAAAATTTCTTGCGTAATACTGTAAAACAGAAAAAAGAGTATAATAAAGTATAGAATGTCGTTTTACATATTTTTTGCACATTTAGTACAAGAGCACGTTATTTGACATAACATCGAATACAGTGAATGGAGAAAAATATTTAATTGAGAGTTTCTTTTTTCTTTTAATATATGAGAAGAATGCAAAATTTAAACCTATAATTATCGTGCTAATTTTTAAACAATTGTGATTGTAACCTACAAATAAGACTAATATAATTTACGATTACATAGGAAAAATATAAGAAACTAGTAAATAAAATAAATAATGTAAAATGTATTTTTACTATAAGGAATATAATTATTAATATTTAGTAATTTTACCCCAAGAGACATATGCATATATTCTTTTATTTATTTGATAGATGGAAGTGCTAATAGAAATAAAAGAAAAAAATACAAAAAAACGTGCGAAGAAAAGAAAAAATCTATCTGTCCCACACGCAAATACAGTATTATTTCTGTAAAAGAAAATAGACAGCAAAAAGAAACAACACAGGAGGCGCGAAAAAATTAAGTGATTTTGGTACGAGAGCTTTTTTGGATTGCTGTTATATCAAGAATAGCAAAAGCGGATATGCAGTAAATAAGGTAAACAAAAAAAAAATCAAAAATTATTTTGATAATGACATCAGCGAGACATGCATCAATTGAGTATCTATGCAAATCATATTTTAACGTGATTGATTCCACACTTTTGCATTTGTATATGATGAAAATTAACAATAAAAGAAAATATTTAAATAATAAATTCCGATTTATTTGATATGAAAAAAATGGAACACAAGAATCTCATATTTATATCGAAGCATCCGATTCTGGGCACTTTCATATTATACTAATATATTTTACAATAATTATACTTTAAACAATTGGTAATATGAATTTCAATTGTTCTTTGCTAGTAGAAAAGATATATAGCCAGCCGAAGTTTTCAATATCTGAAAACAATATATATTTTGTATATATATTCAAGGAAAAAGATTTTAAAGAGAAATAATAAGTTTTTACAAAAATATATGATAACATACTTATGTGCTCTTTATTTAATATAGATTAAAATGAATATATTAAAATTCTTTATATTTATATAAATATTAGAAAGACACTCTTTTGTGTGTGGTAAAAGGCTAATACTAACAATAAGATAAAAATTATAATATTTATAAAAAATATTTTATTTTAATTATCTCTTTCTCTTTTTCCCATAGATATTAAGGATAAATAATTATATAATTAATAATTAAATTTTAATATAGAGTCAAAAGTGATAGCTAAACTATGTAAGACAGATTATTAATAACCCTACATTACAAAAAGTGGCCATTGTTAGCGGAAGAATTTTTCCTGCAGTAATGCAAATCGGTTTCTTTGTTGATAACATTAGCAGAATAAGGTTTTTCGCCTTATGTGGTTCCCATGTATACCAGTCCAGATTACAAATAGTACGGTATATTGCATCGCACTTATAAAAATAAATACACATATATTTTATTAATTATACAAATAATAATAGATGACTAAAGGCGTGCTACAGGCTAATATTATACAGACAAGTAAACATATATCAGATTTTAACTGGACTAGTGAGGTTTATTTTTGCGTTGAAGAGATACATGTTTATTTGCAAATGGTAGTAATTTTGAGTATTTTTATAACAAGAACTCAACATTTTTACATTGCTTTTTTATTGTAGTTTTGACATGACTTTGACTATGTGTGGCAATTTTATTCGTCAAGAAACGAACTATAATAATACGTAATCAGAAGAACTTATTGTCAGTTTAAAAAAAAAGTGTCTTTGAAATGAGCTTAACGACTTTACTCATAAAAAATGGAATTCAAATAATACATAATACCCGCTTTGATGCCAAATAGTCATCGAAAAATTAGAATTGCATATCTCGCTCAATTTCGGCAATATTAGTCTGTAATATCTTTAGTCATCCGCCCTGTAAATACATATAATATATATGTACAATATACAGTGTGTTCAGCGTAAGGGTCCGTACGATTTTTAAGACGTTTTTGATAGTGTAAAAAATTTATATAGTGAAAAATCTGTTTTACGTAAAATATATTTCATGTAATAAAGATATTTAAAAAATTTTTTTATCTACATTTATCATAAATTGCAAAATTGATTAATATAATATACAATGCTACTGTATTGTATGTATAAATATGTGATTTACTTGTGCAGATATTAAATCTCCGCCAAAGCAGTAAATAAACATTTGCATAAGCTGAGAAATGACAGTTATTAACGCATAACTTAATTGTGACAACATTGCGGTGTTCATATTTTCGTCAGTAATCACCTAAATAAAAAATATCTCATTAATTAATAAAACAGATTGATATGAAATAAATAAATAATCACGCCACATATATACGTCAACAAATATATTATACTATAACTTACAATAATTAATATAAATCCGCATAGACAAAATATTATAATAAATTGGAGTACAATCACAAATAATATTAGTGTAAATGTATTTTCGACATTATTGGCAAATCTACATGAACATATAAATATACAATTATAAATTATATTCTCTTCATATTAAATATACATATAGTAATAATTACATATAAAAATTTTTTACAATTAATATTACACTATTTATCAAATTTATATTTTGGCATTTCTTAATAATATTAATTAGTCTTCAAATCGTGTAATTATTAAATATAAAAACAAGAATGTCGATAAATGAGAAATTTCGATAAATTTAAATAGACAATATTTATAAAATAAATGGACCAATTTCACATTAAATAAAAAAATTACGCAAATGTAAATTTGTATACTGCTTCTTTATTATATTATTTCTCTCATTAAGATAGTTTTTAGAGATGTGCGAATTATTCGAATTCGAATCGACGTAGTTCGAAATTGAAAGATTCGATAACATCGAATCACTGCAATTCGAATTCGAATCAAAGAACCGCGTAAGAAGACTTAAAATCCGTTTAATTCTATTGTTTAATTCTATACGCGTTGATTCGATTCGAATTCGAAATATGGGTGATTCGATTCGATTCGATTCGGCGATATTTTTGTCGATTCGATTTGATTCGAGTTGTTTTTTTTGCAAATTCGATTCGATTCGATTCGAATTAGAAAATCTTGATTTGCACATCTCTAATAGTTTTCAATTATGACAAAAAATGGTGAGGAAGTAATATGCAAGTTAAGTTTCCTCTATGAGGGGGCCAAAATTGAAAAATCATCGCTAACATAACATTAAGATTTTTTGATATAGATATATTTATTATTATTTATTATTAATCAATAAATCTAAAAATCTTTCTCTAAGATCTAAAGTTTCTCAGAAATTCTGCAGAAATTTCATTGTATTGTTAAAACCAAAACCCACCTGATCAGACGTAAATGAGTGAATATGCAACTACTCAGAGCTTTATTGAAATCTTTGCATGAAGTCAAACTGTTTAGTTGATGTTTGAAATTCTCCAACTGACCATCCATGTGAAGAATCGCAAATCCCAAAAATCCACTTACCCCAATGTAAATGCATATTGCCAGCAGAACTGCTAAGGCTTGAGCAAAAAACGTCACCTCAAATTGCAGACTTTTATCAGTGTCGTAAACATAATAAGTTTGCAGAGGTAAAGGCTTGTTCCGATCCGTGAGATTTGTCAACTGTCTAAGTGGTGAGTGGAAATAAGGTATAATAATAAGACAAGTATATGCCGGTATTGTTACAACAGCGGCAAAAATTGTAACTAATCGGGCGATCCAAGCGCGCTTTATCATTACATCTCTCTCTGTGTCTAACTTTAGCCTTAACCAGTCCTCCTCTATCATGATAATGATGGATGATATCACTGGCAAATAAAAAAAACGTAATATCCGATAAAGAAATATCGAATATAACATTAGAAGATACTTATTAACATAGATATCGAAAAGAAAATTATCGTACACATATCTTAATTTATTCCAACATTAAAATGCATTATGATAAAAATTATGTATATTTCTTTTACTGCCATAATATATTATGTGACTATAGTAATTAAATCCTCTAAAAAGAATTTTATAAAGATATAAAACGTGAATGCTTTGAATTAATTAATTCTATTCATACCTGTTTGTTTCCATCGCATTATAACAAATTCCAATAAAATAGTGAAAATAGCTAATGTCACTTTTATATTGTCTATCATTAGCGCCATATCACCCGAAACTCGTATAAGCGCATGTACCATAGGAATACCAATGACAAATGCTAGCATAATAAAATTGAAACCCGCACAAATGTCAGAACCGAGTCTTCTTTTGGAGACTTCATTAGTTTTAGGCCATAAACCGGCCAATTCTAAATTGAGACGGTTTATTCCAATTGCCCACACAAAATCTAATAAAATTTTTTTAAGTTGAGTAGTAATTACAAATTTGTACATACATTGTAAAACTTTTATTAAAATGATGAAAATGCAATGCACGTATTTGTTACATATAATAAATACATTTATAACACAATTCTTACTTAAAAATTATAAGTAGAAAATGTATAAAATAGGCTTCGTACCTTTGTAACCTGAAGATTCCGACTTGTCCATTTCGAGGACTAATATGAATGTGTCGAAGAGATGGTGATCATCGTATTCTCTTCCCATTTATGATAAAATAACTATCACGCATGCTCGCGAAACAAGTGCAATAACCTTGATGCGTTATAGAAGGATGCATTAAATATTAATGATGCAACTTCTACTCGTTTTCAGTTCTCTGTTTCGTATTAAAACTTTATAGGAGGAATAATACTTGCAAACTTATTTATTTCTTCTTTTTTTTTTTACAAGATGTATACAGGGAATGTATATTGTATCGCTTATATATTATAGACCTTATATTAAAAGTTTTTTCATACTTCTCTACATTTCATATACCTATATGCGCTTACTATGAAGAAGATGAACATGTAATTACATGTTGTGTAGTTGAAAAAATTTTTTGCGTGATACTATAAAACATAAAAGAAGAGTACGATAAAGTACAGAATGTCGTTTTACATATTTTTTGCACATTTAGTACAAGAGCACGTTATTTGACATAACATCGAATACAGTGAATGGAGAAAAATATTTAATTGAGAGTTTCTTTTTTCTTTTAATATATGAGAGGAATGCAAAATTTAAATCTATAATTATCGTGCTAATTTTTAAACAATTGTGATTGTAACCTGCAGATAAAACTAATATCATTTACGATTACATAGGAAAAATATAAGAAACTCGTAAATAAAATAAATAATGTAAAATTTATTTTTACTATAAGAAATATAATTATTAATTTTTAGTAATTTTACCCCAAGAGACATATGCATATATCCTTTTATTTATTTGATAGATGGAAGGGTTAATAGAAAAAAATACAAAAAAGACGTGCGAAGAAAAGAAGAAATCTATCTGTCCCACACGCAAGTACAGTATTATTTCTGTAAAAAAAATAGACAGCAGAAAAAAAACAACACAGGAGGCGCGAAAAAATTAAGTGATTTTGGTACGAGAGCTTTTTTGGATTGCTGTTATATCAAGAATAGCAAAAGCGGATATGCAGTAAATAAGGTAAGCAAAAAAAAATCAAAAATTATTTCGATAATGACATCAGCGAGGCATGCATCAATTGAGTATCTATGCAGATCATATTTTAACATGATTGATTTCACACTTTTGCATCTGTGAACGATGAAAGTTAACAATAAAGGAAAAGATTTAAATAACAAATTCCGCTTTATTCGAATTGAAAAAAAGGAAACACAAGAATCTCAAGTTTTTATCGAAGCATCCTGTAGTGGGCATTTTCATATAACACGATATATAACATACCCTTATGGAAATTTAATACTGTAATCATTGGAGGTTCAATAATTAAATCGCTAGATATTACACTATATATCAGCCATTTAAGTACTCGAAATAAGTGATTAATTGAACTTACTAATGATAAATTTCCATACGGGTATTTTACAATAACTTTCACATTTTGAGCATAATCAATTGGTAATATGAATTTCAATTCCTCTTTGCTAGTAGAAAAGATATATAGCCAGCCGATGTTTTTAATATCTGAAAATAATATATATATCTATATATATTCAAGGAAAAAGATTTTAAAAAAGAGAGAATATTTTTTTACAAAAATATATGATAATATAAACTACATATGTGTTTTTAATTTCTGTACGTTAACATAATTCTTTATATTTATATAAATAGAGGGAAGATACTCTCTCTTGTGGTAAAAGCTAAATACTAACAATAAGATAAAAATTATAATATTAAAAAATATTTTATTCTAATTATTTCTCTTTCTTTCTTTCCCATAGAAATATAGGATAAATAATTATGTAGGTATATAATTAATAATTAAATGTTAATAGATTCAAAAAGTGATAGCTAAACTATGTAAGACAAGTTATTAATAACCCTACATTACAAAAAGTGGCCATTGTTAGCGGAAGAATTTTTCCTGCGGTAATGCAAAACGGTTTCTTCGTTAATAACATTAGCAGAATAATGTTTTTCGCCTTATGTGGTTCCCATGTATACCAGTCCAGATCACAAATAGTACGGTATACTGCATCGCACTTATAAAAATAAAAATACACATATTTTATTAAATATACAAAGTAGACGACTAAAGGTGTTAGAGGCTAATATTATACAGACAAGTAAACATACATCAGATGTTAACTGCACTAGTGATGTTTATTTTTGCGTTCAAGAGATGCATGTTTATTTTCAAATGGTAGTAATTTCGAGTATTTTTATAATAAAAACTCAACATTTTTACATTGTTTTTTTGATGTAATTTTGATATCATGACTATGTGTGGCAATTTTATTCGTCAAGAAACGAACTATAATGATACGTAATCAGAAGAACTTATTGTCAATTTAAAAAAAAGGTGTCTTTGAATTGACCTTAACGACTTTACTCAGAAAAAAAATTAAATTTATATAATACCCGCTTTGATGCTAAATAGTCATTGAAAATTAGAATTGCTTATCTCGTTCAATTTCGGCAATATTAGTCTGTAACACCTTTAGTCATCCGCCCTGTAAATAAATATAATATATATGTACAATATACAGTGTGTTCAGCGTAAGAATCCGCATGATTTTGAAAACGTTTTTGACAGTGTAAAAAAATTTATATAGTGAAAAATCTGTTTTACGTAAACTATATTACATGTAATATAGAAATAAAAAAAACTGTATCTACATTTATCACAAATTGCAAAATTGCTTAATATAATATACAATGCTACTGTATTGTATGCATAAATATGTGATTTACTTGTCCAGATATTAAATCTCCGCCAAAGCAGTAGATAAACGTTTGCATAAGCTGAGAAATGACAACTAATAACACATAACTTAATTGTGACAACTTTGCCGTGTTCATATTTTCGTCAGTAAACACCTAAATAAAATATACCTCATTAATTAATAAAAACAGATTAATATAAATTAAATAGATATAATCACGCCATATTTATACGTCAACAAATATGTTATGCTATAACTTACAATAACCAATACAAATCCGTATAGACAAAATATTATACTAAACTCGAGTACCAACAGAAATAATATTAGTGTAAATGTATTTTCGACATTATTGGCATATCTACGTGAACATATAAATAAACAAAAATAAGATATATTCTCTTTATATTGAATATATTAGATAGTAATAATTACATATAAAAATTTTTTACTTTTAAATATCGCATTATTTAGCAAATTTATATTTTGACATTTTTTAATAGTATTAATATATTAATTAGTCTTCAAATCTTGTACTTATTAAATATAAAAACAAGAATTTCGATAAACGAAGAGAGATTTCGATAAATTTAAATAGGCAATATTTATAAAAAACGGACCGATTCTACATTAAATAAAAGGAGTTACGCAAATGGAAATTTGCACACTGTTTCTTTACTGTATTATTTCTATCATTAAGATAATTTTCAATTATGACAAAATAAAATGAGGTGAAGAAGTAATATGCAAGTTAAATTTCCTCTATGAGAAAGCCAATATTGAAAAACCATCGTTTACAAAACATTAAGACTTTGATATAGATTTACCCAGTAAAAAATGATGGTCGAGTCGACATCAAATTCGTCGAATCGATGTCGAATTCGTCGAATCGATGTCGAATCGATGACGATTCGACTAATCATTTCTCATTGGGTATATACTATTATTTATTAATTAATAATTTTAAAAATCTTTCTCTAAGATCTAAATTTGCTCAAAAATTCTGCAGAAATTTCATTATATTGTTAAAATCAAAACCCACCTGATCAGACGTAAATGAGTCACTATGCAACTACTCAGAGCTTTATTGAAATCTTTGCATGAGGTCAAATTGTTTAGTTGACGTTTGAAATTCTCCAACTGACCATACATGTGAAGAATCGCAAATCCCAAAAATCCACTTACTCCAACGTAAATAAATATTGCTATTAGAACTGCTATAGCTTGAGCAAAAAACGTCAACTCAAATTGCAGACTGTTATCAGTGTCGTAAACATAATAAGTTTGCAGAGGTAAGGGCCTATTTCGATCCGTGAGATTCGTCAACTGTCTGACTGGTAAGTGGAAATAAGGTATAATGATAAGAAAAGTATATGCCGGTATTGTTACAACAGCGGCACAAATTGTAATTAGTCGAGCGATCCAAGCGCGCTTTATCATTACATCTCTCTCTGTGTCTAACTTTAGCCTCAACCAGTCCTCCTCTATCATGCAAATGATGGATGATATCACTGGCAAATAAAAAAAACGTAATATCCGATAAAGAAATATCGAATATAACATTAGAAGATACTTATTAACATAGATATCGAAAAGAAAATTATCGTACACATATCTTAATTTATTCCAACATTAAAATGCATTATGATAAAAATTATGTATATTTCTTTTACTGCCATAATATATTATGTGACTATAGTAATTAAATTCTCTAAAAAGAATTTTATAAAGATATAAAACGTGAATGCTTTGAATTAATTAATTCTATTCATACCTGTTTGTTTCCATCGCATAATAACAAATTCTAATAAAATGGTGAATATAGCTAATGTCACTTTTATATTGTCTATCATTAGCGCCATATCACCCGAAACTCGTATAAGCGCATGTACCATAGGAATACCAATGACAAATGCTAGCATAATAAAATTGAAACCCGCACAAATGTCAGAACCGAGTCTTCTTTTGGAGACTTCATTAGTTTTAGGCCATAAACCGGCCAATTCTAAATTGAGACGGTTTATTCCAATTGCCCACATAAAATCTAATAAAATTTTTTTAAGTTGAGTAGTAATTACAAATTTGTACATACATTGTAAAACTTTTATTAAAATGATGAAAATGCAATGCACGTATTTGTTACATATAATAAATACATTTATAACACAATTCTTACTTAAAAATTATAAGTAGAAAATGTATAAAATAGGCTTCGTACCTTTGTAACCTAAAGATTCCGACTTGTCCATTTTGAGGACTAATATGAATGTGTCGAAGAGATGGTGATCAACGTATTCTCTTCCCATTTATGATAAAATAACTATCACGCATGCTCGCGAAACGAGTGCAATAACCTTGATGCGTTATAGAAAGATGCATTAAATATTAATGATGCAACTTCCAGTCGTTTTTAGTTCTCTGTTTCGTATTAAAACTTTATAGGAGGAATAATACTTGCAAACTTATTTATTTCTTCTTCCTTTTTTTTTACAAGATGTATACAGGGAATGTATATTGTATCGCTTATATATTATAGACCTTATATTAAAAGTTTTTTCATAGTTCTCTACATTTCATGTACCTATATGCGCTTACTATGAAGAAGATGAACATGTAATTACATGTTGTGTAGTTGAAAAAATTTTTTGCGTGATACTGTAAAACAGAAAAGAAGAGTACAATAAAGTACAGAATGTCGTTTTACATATTTTTTGCACATTTAGTACAAGAGCACGTTATTTGACATAACATCGAATACAGTGAATGGAGAAAAATATTTAATTGAGAGTTTCTTTTTTCTTTTAATATATGAGAGGAATGCAAAATTTAAATCTATAATTATCGTGCTAATTTTTAAACAATTGTGATTGTAACCTACAGATAAGACTAATATAATTTACGATTACATAGGAAAAATATAAGAAACTCGTAAATAAAATAAATAATGTAAAATTTATTTTTACTATAAGGAATATAATTATTAATTTTTAGTAATTTTACCCCAAGAGACATATGCATATATCCTTTTATTTATTTGATAGATGGAAGAGCTAATAGAAATAAAAGAAAAAAATACAAAAAAACGTGCGAAGAAAAGAAGAAATCTATCTGTCCCACACGCAAGTACAGTATTATTTCTGTAAAAAAAATAGACAGCAGAAAAAAACAACACAGGAGGCGCGAAAAAATTAAGTGATTTTGGTACGAGAGCTTTTTTGGATTGCTGTTATATCAAGAATAGCAAAAGCGGATATGCAGTAAATAAGGTAAGCAAAAAAAAATCAAAAATTATTTCGATAATGACATCAGCGAGGCATGCATCAATTGAGTATCTATGCAGATCATATTTTAACATGATTGATTTCATACTTTTGCATCTGTGTACGATGAAAGTTAACAATAAAGTAAAAGATTTAAATAACAAATTCCGCTTTATTCGAATTGAAAAAAAGGAAACACAAGAATCTCAAGTTTTTATCGAAGCATCCTGTAGTGGGCATTTTCATATAACACGATATATAACATACCCTTATGGAAATTTAATACTGTAATCATTGGAGGTTCAATAATTAAATCGCTAGATATTACACTATATATCAGCCATTTAAGTACTTGAAATAAGTGATTAATTGAACTTACTAGTGATAAATTTCCATACGGGTATTTTACAATAACTTTCACATTTTGAGCATAATCAATTGGTAATATGAATTTCAATTCCTCTTTGCTAGTAGAAAAGATATATAGCCAGCCGATGTTTTTAATATCTGAAAATAATATATATCTATATATATTCAAGGAAAAAGATTTTAAAAAAGAGAGAATATTTTTTTACAAAAATATATGATAATATAAACTACATATGTGTTTTTAATTTCTGTACGTTAACATAATTCTTTATATTTATATAAATAGAGGGAAGATACTCTCTCTTGTGGTAAAAGCTAAATACTAACAATAAGATAAAAATTATAATATTAAAAAAATATTTTATTCTAATTATTTCTCTTTCTTTCTTTCCCATAGAAATATAGGATAAATAATTATGTAGGTATATAATTAATAATTAAATGTTAATAGATTCAAAAAGTGATAGCTAAACTATGTAAGACAGTTATTAATAACCCTACATTACAAAAAGTGGCCATTGTTAGCGGAAGAATTTTTCCTGCCGTAATGCAAAACGGTTTCTTCGTTAATAACATTAGCAGAATAATGTTTTTCGCCTCATGTGGTTCCCATGTATACCAGTCCAGATCACAAATAGTACGGTATACTGCATCGCACTTATAAAAATAAAAATACACATATTTTATTAAATATACAGAGTAGATGACTAAAAGTGTTAGAGGCTAATATTATACAGACAAGTAAACATACATCAGATGTTAACTGCACTAGTGATGTTTATTTTTGCGTTCAAGAGATGCATGTTTATTTTCAAATGGTAGTAATTTCGAATATTTTTATAATAGAAACTAAACATTTTTACATTGTTTTTTTAATGTGGTTTTGATATCATGACTATGTGTGGCAATTTTATTCGTCAAGAAACGAACTATAATGATACGTAATCAGAAGAACTTATTGTCAGTTTAAAAAAAAAGGTGTTTTTGAATTGATCTTAACGACTTTACTCAGAAAAAAAATTAAATTCATATAATACCCGCTTCGATGCTAAATAGTCATTGAAAATTAGAATTGCTTATCTCGTTCAATTTTGGCAATATTAGTCTGTAACACCTTTAGTCATCCGCCCTGTAAATAAATATAATATATATGTACAATATACAGTGTGTTCAGCGTAAGAATCCGCATGATTTTGAAAACGTTTTTGACAGTGTAAAAAAATTTATATAGTGAAAAAACTGTTTTACGTAAACTATATTACATGTAATAAAGAAATAAAAAAACTGTATCTACATTTATCACAAATTGCAAAATTGATTAATATAATATACAATGTTACTGTATTGTATGCATAAATATGTGATTTACTTGTCCAGATATTAAATCTCCGCCAAAGCAGTAGATAAACGTTTGCATAAGCTGAGAAATGACAACTATTAACGTATAACTTAATTGTGACAACTTTGCCGTGTTCATATTTTCGTCAGTAATCATCTAAATAAAATATACCTCATTAATTAAAATAAACAGATTGATATGAATTAAATAGATATAATCACGCCATATTTATACGTCAACAAATATGTTATGCTATAACTTACAATAACCAGTACAAATCCGCATAAACAAAATATTATACTAAACTCGAGTACCAACAGAAATAATATTAGTGTAAATGTATGTTCGACATTATTGGCATATCTACGTAAACATATAAATATACAAAAATAAGATATATACTTTTTATATTGAATATATAGCATAGTAAGAATTACATATAAAAATTTTTTACTCTTAAATATTGCATTATTTAGCAAATTTATATTTCGACATTTCTTAATAGTATTAATATATTAATTAGTCTTCAAATCTTGTACTTATTAAATATAAAAACAAGAATTTCGATAAACGAAGAGGGATTTCGATAAATTTAAATAGGCAATATTTATAAAAAAAACGGACCGATTCCACATTAAATAAAAGGAGTTACGCAAATTGAAATTTGTACACTGTTTCTTTACTATATTATTATTTATATCATTAAGATAATTTTCAATTATGACGAAATAAAATAAGGTGAAGAAGTAATATTCAAGTTAAATTTCCTCTATGAGAAAGCCAAAATTGAAAAACCATCGTTTACAAAACATTAAGACTTTGATATAGATTTACCCAGTGAAAAATGATGGTCGAATCGACATCAAATTCGTCGAATCGATGTCGAATTCGTCGAATCGATGTCGAATCGATGACGATTCGACTAATCATTTCTCATTTGTGGGTATATACTATTATTTATTAATTAATAATTTTAAAAATCTTTCTCTAAGATCTAAATTTGCTCAAAAATTCTGCAGAAATTTCATTATATTGTTAAAATCAAAACCCACCTGATCAGACGTAAATGAGTCACTATGCAACTACTCAGAGCTTTATTGAAATCTTTGCATGAGGTCAAATTGTTTAGTTGACGTTTGAAATTCTCCAACTGACCATACATGTGAAGAATCGCAAATCCCAAAAATCCACTTACCCCAACGTAAATAAATATGGCTAGTAGAACTGCTATAGCTTGAGCGAAAAACGTCAACTCAAATTGCAGACTATTATCAGTGTCGTAAACATAATAAGTTTGCAGAGGTAAGGGCCTATTTCGATCCGTGAGATTCGTCAACTGTCTGACTGGTAAGTGGAAATAAGGTATAATGATAAGAAAAGTATATGCCGGTATTGTTACAACGGCAACAGAAATTGTAACTAGTCGAGCGATCCAAGCGCGCTTTATCATTACATCTCTCTCTGTGTTTAACTTTAGCCTCAACCAGTCCTCTTCTATCATAATAATTATGGATGATATCACTGACAAATAAAAAAACGTAATATAGACAAAAAGATATCGAATGTAACATTAGATAATACTTATTAACATAGATATCGAAAAGAAAATTATCGTACACATATCCTATTTTATTCCAACAATAAAATACAGTAGGATAAAAATTATGTACATTTCTTTTACTGTCATAATCTAATATGTGAAAAGAATTTTACAAAGATATTAAACGTGAATGCTTTGAATTAATTAATTTTATTTATACCTTCTTGTTTCCGTCGCATAATAAGAAATTCTAATAAAATGGTCAATATAATTAATGTCATTTGTAAATTGTCTATCATTAGCGCCATATCACCCGAAACTCGTATAAGCGCATGTACCATAGGAATACCAATGACAAATGCTAGCATAATAAAAGTGAAACCCGCACAAATGTCAGAACCGAGTCTTCTTTTAGAGACTTCATTAGTTTTAGGCCATAAACCGACCAATTTTAAATTGAGACGGTTTATTCCAATTGCCCACACAAAATCTTAAAATAAAATATTTTTAAGTTGAGTAGTAATTACAAATTTGTACGTAGATTGTAAAACTTTTATTAAAATGATGAAAATACAATGCACGTATTTGTTACATATGACAAATACATTTATAACACAATTCTTACTTAAAAATTATAAGTCGAAAATGTATAAAATAGGCTTCGTACCTTTGTAACCTGAAGATTCCGACTTGTCCATTTCGAGGACTAATATGAATGTGTCGAAGAGATGTTGTCCATCGTAAACTCTTCCCATCTTATCATAAAATAACTGTCACGCATGCTCGTGAAGCGAGTGCAATAACCTGGATGCGTTGTAGAAGAATGTATTAAATATTAACGATACTACTTCCAGTCGTTTTCAGTTGTCTGTTTCGGAATAAAACTTTAACAGGCGTAACAATAGTTGCAAACTTATAGTTTTTTCTTTTTTTTTACAAAACGTATTTACAGGATGTATTGTATCGCTTATATATCATTGACCTTATATTAAAAGTTTTTTCATACTTCTTTTTGTTTCATATATGTGCGTTTATAATGAAAATATAGTGTCATGTAAATTATATGCTGTGTGATTCGACAAATTTTCTGTAAAATATTGTAAAAGAAAAAAAAAGAATACAATATAGTACAGAATGTCATTTTACTTGTTTTTTGCACGTTTAGTAGGCACAAGAACACATTCGTAGACGTAACATTGGATGCAGTGAATGGAAAAATATTTTAATTGAAAGTTTCTTTTTTTTTAATATATGAGAGCAATGCAATTGTCAAACCTATAATTTTTGTGCTATTTTTAAAAAAATTGTAATTGTAATATTCAAATAAGATTAATACATTTTACGACTACATGGCATTAATTCTTATTAGCAATTTTAACAGAAGAAAAACATATATATTCTTTTCTCTTATTCTCATTTACTAGAGTTAATGTAATATTAATTTATGTGTTATCAGCACCAGTTTTAAATCCTGTATTTTAAATTAAAACGATATATAAATAACAAATCGATATTTTGAATAACTAAAATAAATATATTTTTTAAAGACTTTAAAAATAACTAAAAATAAAAAATTTTTAATAATTTTTAAAAATAATATTGATTATGATACCATATTATATTTGTAATCAGTTGCAGGTTCAACATCTAAATTTTCTCGTCTGGAAAAATAAGATTGAATAAATAATATTTTTTCTAATCTAGAAATTCGGGATATAACTATTAACGTCGGAATATAACTATTAGTCTCGTCACACAAGTCAAGCCGAAAGTGACAGTAGAAGCATATGTTAAAGACAATATGAAAGAAAAAGAGCGCAAACAAGTAAGTGATTTTGCGAAAGCTTTTTTTTATTGCCGCTATAACAAGAATGACAATAGTGCGTATACAGTAAATATAAGGTAAGAAAAAGAAAATTAAATAACAAATTCTGCTTTATTTAAATTGAAAAGTAAGCAACACACAAGAATCACAACCTCTAATCAAAGCATCCTGTAGTAGGCACTCTCATATAACACGATAATATATTTGACAAAATAACTATCATACTTTGAGTATATGAACAATTGGTAATATGAATTTCAATTTTTTTTGCTAGTAGAAAAGATATATAGCCAGCCGATATTTTTAATATCTACAAATATATATTTATATTCAAGAAAAACGATTTTAAAAAAGAGAAAATAATTTTTTACGAAAATATGTGATAATATAAACTACTATGTGCTTTGTAATTTATATATATTATTAAAATAATTTTTTACATTTACATAAATAGAGATATCTCTTTTGTGGTAAAAGTTTAATATTAACAATAAGATAAAAAATTATAAGATAAAGAAAGTATTTTCTTTTAATTATCTTTCTTTCTCTCTTTCCCATAGATGTAAAGGATAAATAATTATATAATTAATAATTAAATAATAGAGAGATTTAAAAATTTATAGCTAAATTATGTAAAAACAAATTATTGATAATCTTATATTACAAAGTGGCCATTCTTAGCAGAAAAATTTTTCCCGCAATAATGCAAAGCGGTTCCTTAGTTAGTAACATTAGCAGAATAATGTTTTTCGCATAATGTGGTTTCCATGTACACTGTAAAAAAATATGTAATATATTACACAAAATATGTAAAATTACATAAATAATAAGTGTAAAATTACACGATAAATAATAGAAATAATTACCTTTTCATTATTTATCATGTAATTTTACATTTATTATTTATGTAATTTTACATATGTTTAATGTAATTTTACAAAATTTTTTACAGTGTATACCACTCCAGATCGCAAATAGTACGGTACACTGCGTCACACTTAATAAAAATACACACATATTTTATTAAATATATAGGGTAAATGATTAAAGGTGTTATAGGTTAATATTATGCATGCTATACAGACAAGTAAATATATAGTAGATGTTGACTGAATTAGTGAAGTTTATTTTGATGTTGAAAAGATGCATGTTTATTTATAAATAGCAGTAATTTCGAGCATTTTTATAACAAGAACTGAAAACTGTCATATTGATAAATTCCCAAAATTATTAATAGCAGTCACTAGTATTTAAATAGGAGTTGTAGAAATTAATCGTCTAAACTAGCAAGTAAAATATTTATTCAGTTTCACGACGTTTCGATCATGTAATTGTGGTCTTTATCAAGTAAAACACTAAAATATTTTATTACATAAATAGTTATTAACGTAACACAAAAAATTCACAGATAAACATATCTATAAAAACTATAAACCATACTTACAAATGAATTAAATTAAAGTTAACACATTATTATATAAATTTTGTCAGTAACATTTCTTGAAACTATATAAGTCAATCAATAGAACAAAGCGAAACAATAAACATCATAATTTGTTATCATAATTAAATTTGATAACAAAACTGAGTTTGATTTACGAGTTGACATAATTACTTTTACTTGTAACTTAAATTCCTACTGTATTAACAAATCTGCTTATAAATACTAAAATGTAGCATATATGTATATGTATATCTCATTTTGTTTAATCTAACAAAATATAATTATGCACGCAAAGCGAAGTTATGTTATTCTTTGATAATAATCTCAAAAATTGCGACGCATGCATGCAAAAATTATTATTGCAATCAATGCATAAAAAATATATTAATTATACAAAGCATAAAAATTCAATATTTAAATCTTTAACAGAAAATACGAACGAAAAAATAAAATTTTCTACAAGAATCTTTTGTAATTAAATATCTATATGCTTTTATTAGACTCGCGCGAGACTCTATACCCCATATGTCCATCACGCTGCGCGGCTCGCGCGAAACTGATTCTTGTTCGAGGTATCGTGAGCGCGAAACCGAGGACACGTGACCGCTGGTCATGTGACCACTGGTCACGTGACCATCGGTTTCGCGCTCGCGATACCCCGCATAAGATTCAGTCTCGCGCGAGCCGCGCACCGTAATGGATGTGGGGGTGTACTAATCTGATCACGTGATTAGTTTCACGCGAGCCGTGCACGTTGTTAACGTAATATTGAATACAGTAAACGGAGAAAATTTTAAATTGTGTTTTTTTCTTTCTAATAAACAAGAAAAATGAAATATTCAAACCTTTAAATTTTATCGAATTACTTTTAAAACAATTGTGCCAGTAATCTTTAAAAAAGAATAAAACAATTTATATGAGTACATAACAAACACAGAAAATTAGTAACGAGATAAAATTATAATATAAAAAACTTTACATTTTTTAGGTGCTGAGAAATATAGTTAAAACTATTGAGACTTATTAATCTTACACTGCAGAACGTAGTTTTTGTTAGAGGAATAATTTTTCTTACAATAATACAAAAAGATTCCTGAATAAGTTTCATTAATAAAATATCTTACAATAAATAGCAAATAACTACTTACATAAGGCATATGAAACTTTATTTCTACTATAACAAATACAATTAATTGATCATTATTCGTAATTTTGAATACACGAATATAATGTCATCCATCTCCCTTATTTATTCTTGAATTATTATATAATAAAATACGAATTTGATTTTTTCAAGCTTGTGCTAGCAAAAACGATATATATCCTACTGATGTTTTTACAAACTGAAAATAAATAGATATTATTCAGTACATTTTATAATATATAATTTATACAAAATATATTGTAATTGATTATAATTTCAAAAATTAGATTGACTCTATGCTTTCATCTTATCAATGTATAATTACAATTGTAACATTTAAATCATATAATAATTATAGATAATATTATTTTAATCTACAATATAAATATAATATATTAATTAAAATTTGGAATATTTTATAATTTAAAAAATTATTCTGTTTTAATATGTTTGTGTTAAAATATATGTCAACAAATAGTATTATTATCGCATTTTTCTTGATTTATATATAAATAAATGATCAAAAATTTGATCTTAATTTGTAATTGTTGCCAAATGTAGTTAAAAAAATAAAAATATTTAATATCTTAATAATCTTAATAATCTTACGCTGCAAAAAGTAGTTATTGTTAATGGAATAATTCTTCCTGCAGTGATACGAGGAGGTTTCTGAGTTCGTAGCAATAATATAATAATATGTTTTGCTCGACCCGATTCTAAATTGTACCATTCAAGATCACATAAAGCACGATATATTGCTTCACACTAAATAAATATATATTATGATATATATCTTAATAACAAATTTTATAATAGATATAAAATTAAAATTAAAATTATCAAGTGTCATCCGCGTGTTAAACTGAAATAACCATGTTACAATTATATAATCGCATACTTACTTTTTCTGTTATCAGATCTCCGACATAACAATAAAAAAACATTTGTATAAATACAATTGTAACAATAAATACTATGTAGCTTACTTGTAGAATTCCCACGTCATTTATGTTTCTTCTCTCTGTAATAATCTAAATAATAGCACTGATTCATTAATAAAAATTAATTCAAGTCAATATAAATTCAATAAAAATAATAATATGTAACAATAGTATGCAAAATATATTGTCCAAATTTTTAATTTTTAATTAAATAAAATATACATTTAACTAATTTAATTGCGTTAGCGCTATACTTACAATAAGCGTTTGAAATCCATATATACAAAATATAATTGCAAAATGTACTACCAATGCAAGCATAATGAAAGTGAATATATCCTCGATGTTATAAGCAAACCTAAGTATACAACATACGCGGTTAAAAACAACGATAAAATCAATAATTAAAACATCAAATCTAAGTTGTGTGTACACAGATATAACATTAAAAAATATTGTACCTTACATATACAATACATATATATATATATATATATATATATATAAATAATTTAAAAAAATTAGTTTTGGGAGCGTTCTATATAATTTAATAAAATATTCTGTATACTGTATAATTAAACATTAAACTAAAAACGAGTTTTATGTTTAAACATTAACATTTTTATGTAAGAATATCAAATAGTGAAAAATTAAAGACTTCTTGTAAAGCTTTCTTGCTTACAATAAAAATTCACACCTAATGATTCGTATGTGAGTCACAATGTTACGACTCAGTGCTCTGTCAAAATCGTTGCATGAGACCAAATTGACTAATCGGTGTTTTAAATTCTCTAACTGACCACAGACGTGAAGAACCAGTAGTACAAGAAAAGCGTCTACTGAGAGGTAGACATATAAACCCAGAATTAAGGTCAAGGCTTGAGTGAGAAATGTCAACTCGAATTGCGGACTCTTATCTGTGTCGTAAAAATAATACGTCTGCATCGGTAAAGGTTTGTTTCGATCTGTGAGATTTGTCACATATCTGGTTGGTTGGCCAATACATGAAGGAACGATGAGCAAAATGAACGCAGATAATGTCACAGCATATGTACAAATTACAAATAATCGAGAAGTTTTCGCATATTTTATCATTACATCCCTCTCTACACTTAGCTTTAATGCCATCCAATCTTCCGCCATCATATTTAAGACGGATGAAAGAACTGAAAAATATTGGAAACATTTGATATGCGACTAGTACGAATAAAATATGTCATTTATATATAAATATTATACCTATTTATTAATCAACATATTAAGAAGAAAATCACATATACCGTGCAAATTAATCTTGAATATCTTTATATGTGTAATATTATCTAATATTATTGCACCCATAAATTACAAAAAATTGAGATAATAAAAAAAATAAAATGATGCATTTTATATTAAATAATTCTAGATATACCTATTTGTTTCCATCGTAGGATAACAAGTTTTAGTGAAACTAGTATTAATGGTAATGTAAGTCGTAAGTTGTCTATCATTAGCTCCAAGTTGCCCCAAACTCGCACAAGCGCACACACAGATGGAACACCAGAAATAAATATCATCAAAATAAGAACGGAACCCACACGAATATCAAGATCGATCCTTCTTTTAGTAGCATTATTGATTGTAGGCCACAAGCCGACCAATTCCAGACATAAATGATTTAATTCAACAGCCCACAAGAAATCTGATAAAATAATCTTTTTATGAAAATCAAACGTAAAGATGATAATCTTTACGCGTAGATATAAAAGATAGTATAAAATCCTAATTTTGAAAAAAACCATAGAAATATGATGACATGTAGGATGTAACAAAATTATATTTATAATGCAACATTAAACATGATTTAAAAAATTATTGCAATATAAAAACACATATATTTTAAAAGAAATATATATAATATGTTATTGAATTAATACCTTTGTAACCTGTAGATTTTGAAATATCCATGTTATAGGTTGTGATTGACACGAACATGATAAAGGAAATCTTCTCTCTTCTTGCAATTTAACGATATTCACTGCGCATGCTCGCAATATAAGCACCTGGCTGTTTTGTCGAAGAACACGCATTAATTAAATATTAAAAATGCTATCCCGAGTTGAATGCAATATTCCTTCTCGTAACAAGACTACTTGATGTATAAGAGTATGTAATAAAAAATATCGCCCCATAATAATATATTGGCTAATAAGATAAGAGGTACATTACGTCCCAGCGTACATCGGAAACATATGCAAACTTGTTTCAGAAGTTTTTTTCATACTTAATGACAAAAGTTTTCTCTACAGAAAACCCGCAAAAAATAAAAAAATTAATACGATAAAGAAGATAATGTCGCATTATAATGTCGCATTTTTCCCGTATTTTTGCTGGAAGAATATATGTATATATATATATATACACACACATGTTTTTTTTAAATGTCTGTGACAAAAGATGTATGCAGTTAATAACAAGATGAATGCAGTGGTATCATATGAAGTATAATTTGTAATATACATCTCATCCCAGTCAGAAATGATATTGAAACCGACATCGACTCGATGCCGAATTGGTCGAATCGATATCGATTCGACGTCTTTTCGATCGATCGATTCTGACTGGGATAGCTATATTTTTCAGTAAGAATACCGAAGTTTCTCGCGCGAGTCTTCGTGTGTAAAATTGCTATGCTTTTTTTCTTATTAATATCTGCTGGCGCTCTAGGAAATGTAAAAAAGTGATTTTATATGACACATTCGGCAATATAATTTAAAGTGCGGCAACAATTTTTCTATAAAATGACCGATGTGATCTGATGCGACGTGTCAACATCAAATAAATAATCAGGCAATAAGTTTACGTGTCCATTCGATGCACTTTACATTTTTTAGGTGCTGAGAATGATAGTTAAAACTATTGAGACTTATTAATCTTACACTGCAGAAAGTAATTTTTGTTAGAGGAATAATTTTTCTTACAATAATACAAAAAGATTCTTAAGCATGTTTCATTAATAAAATACCTTACAATAAATAGCAAATAACTACTTACATAAGGCATATGAAACTTTATTTCTACTATAACAAATGCAATTAATTAATCATTATTCGTAATTTTGAATACACGAATATAATGTCATCCATCTCCCTTATTTATTCTTGAATTATTATATAATAAGATAGAAATTTGATCTTTTCAAGCTTGTGCCAGCAAAAACGATATATATCCTACTGATGTTTTTACAAACTGAAAATAAATAGATATTTATTCAGTACATTTTATAATATATAATTTATACAAAATATATTGTAATTGATTATAATTTCAAAAATTAGATTGACTTTATACTTTCATCTTATCAATTTATAATTACAATAGTAATTATATTACATTTAAATCACATAATAATTATAGATAATACTATTTTAATCTATAATATAAATATAATATATGAATTAAGAAATTATTAAAATATTTTATAATTAAAATAATTATTATAAAATAATTATTTTGTTTTAATATATTTGTTAAAATATATATGTCAAGAAAAAGTATATATTATCGCATTTTTTAAAATTTATATGACGAATAATTTGATCTTAATTTATAATTGTTCCCAATGTAGTTACAAAAACAAAAGTGTTTAATATTCTTACGCTGCAAAAAGTAGTTATTGTTAATGGAATAATTCTTCCTGCAGTGATACGAGGAGGTTTCTGAGTTCGTAGCAATAATATAATAATATGTTTTGCTCGACCCGACTCTAAATTGTACCATTCAAGATCACATAAAGCACGGTATATTGCTTCACACTAAATAAATATATATTATAATATATATCTTAATAACAAATTTCATAATAGATATAAAATTAAAATTAAAATCATCAAGTGTCATCCGCGTGTTAAACTGAAATAACCATGTTACAATTATATAATCGCATACTTACTTTTTCTGTTATCAGTTCTCCGACACAGCAATAAAGAAACATTTGTATAAATAGAATTATAACAACAAATACTATGTAGCCTACTCGTACAATACCCGCGTCATTTATTTTTCCCTCTGTAATTACCTAAATAATATCTCTGATTCATTAATAAAAATCAATTCAAGTCACTGCAAATTCAATAATAATAATATGCAATATATATCCCTATAAGCGCATGATATTATTTAATATTTAAGCAATATTCTAGGCATATTTTTAGAATATTTAATATTCTAAGAATACGCCTAGAATATTAAATAATATCATGCGCTTATAGGGATTGTTTAATTTTTAAAAATAAATTAGATATATGTATATTAAACTATTATAATTATGTTAGCGCTATTATAACTTACAATGAGCGATTGAAATCCATATAGACAAAATATAATTGCAAAATATAATACCAATCCAAGCATAATAAAAGTAAAAATATCCTCGATGTTATTGGCAAACCTAAGTTACAACACACGTGGTTAAAAACATAACAATAAAATCAGTAATTAAGACATCAAATCTAAATTGTGTAACAGATATATAAAATAAAAAAATATTGTATATTATATATACAATATATATATATATATATATATATATATATATTAAGAATAAAAAATTAAATTTTGGATGCGTGTTTTATTTATAATTTAATATATAATGTTCTGTATAATTAAACATTACACTATAAACAAAAAACGAGTTTCATGTTTAAATATTAACATTTTTATGCAAGAATATCAAATAGTGAATTATTTAAAGAGTACTTGTAAAGCTTTCTTGCTTACAATAAAAATTCACACCTAATGATTCGTATGTGAGTCACAATGTTACTACTCAGTGCTCTGTCAAAATCGTTGCATGAGACCAAATTGACTAATCGGTGTTTTAAATTCTCTAACTGACCACAAACGTGAAGAACAACTAGTACAAGAAAAGCGTCTACTGAGAGGTAGACATATAAAGCCAAAATTAAGGTCAAGGCTTGAGTGAGAAATGTCAACTCGAATTGCGGACTCTTATCTGTGTCGTAAAAATAATACGTCTGCATCGGTAAAGGTTTGTTTCGATCTGTGAGATTTGTCACATATCTGGTTGGTTGGCCAATACATGAAGGAACAATGAGCAAACTGGACGCAGATAATGTCACAACATATGTATAAATTACAAATAATCGAGAAGTTTTCGCATATTTCATCATTACATCCCTCTCTACACTTAGCTTTGATGCCATCCAATCTTCCGCCATCATATTTAAAACGGATGAAAGAACTGAAAAATATTGGAAACATTTGATATGCGACTAGTACGAATAAAATATGTCATTTATATATAAATATTATAGCTATTTATTAATCAACATATTAAGAAGAAAATCACATATACCGTGCAAATTAATCTTGAATATCTTTATATGTGTAATATTATCTAATATTATTGCACCCATAAATTACAAAAAATTGAGATAATAAAAAAAATAAAATGATGCATTTTATATCAAATAATTCTAGATATACCTATTTGTTTCCATCGTATGATGACAAGTTTTAGTGAAACTATTATTAATGGTAATGTAAGTCGTAAGTTGTCTATCATTAGCTCCAAATCGCCCCAAACTCGCACAAGCGCACACACAGATGGAACACCAGAAATAAATATCATCAAAATAAGAATGGAACCCACGATAATGTCAAGTTCGATCCTTCTTTTAGTAGCATTATTGATTGTAGGCCACAAGCCGATCAATCTCAGACTTAAATGATTTAATTCAACAGCCCACACGAAATCTGACAAAATAATCTTTTTATGAAAATCAAAGCAGAAGATAACAATTTTTACACGCAGATATAAAAGGTTGTATAAAATCCTAATTTTGAAAAAAAAAACCATAGAAATATAATGACACGTAGGATGTAACAAAATCACATTTATAATGCAACATTAAACTTAATTTAAGAAATTATTGCGATATAAAAAACACATATATTATAAAAGAAAGATATATAATTTGTTATAGAATTAATACCTTTGTAACCTGTAGATCTTGAAACATTCATGTTATTATATGATTGATATGAACATGACAAAAGAAATCTTCTCTCTTCTAGCAATTTTACGATACTCACTACGCATGCTCGCAATGTGAGTGCAACACCTGGCTGTTTTGTCGAACAACGCGCATTAATTAAATATTAAGAATGCTATCCCTAGTTGAGCGCAATTTTCCTTCTCGAAACAAGACTAGTTGATGGACGTAAGAATATGTCATAAAAAATATCACCTCATAATAATATCTTGACTAATAAAATAAGAGGTACATTACGTCCCAGCGTACATCGGAAACATATGCAAACTTGTTTCCAAAGTTTTTTTCATACATAATGATAAAAGTTTTCTCTACAAAAGACGCGCAAAAAATTAAAAAATTAATACGATGAAGAAGATAATATCGCATTTGCATTTTTCTCGTATTTTTGCTGGAAGAATATTTTAGTTAATGTATTGTAACATTAAATATGATATTAACGTGTAACGTTTCAAGTAAATTGTAATATTATATATACAAGTTTTTGAAATATATTTCTGTGAGAAAAGATGTGTACAATTAATAACAAGATGAGTGCAGTGGTACCATATATTAAGTGTGTTTTGTAATAGACATCTCGTAGCTATATTTTTCAGTAAGTGTAAAATTGCCATGCTTTTTTATTCCTTATTAATATCTGCTAGCGCCTTAGAACATCTAAAAATGTGATTTTATATGACACATTTGGCAATATAATTCAAAGTGCGACAATAATTTTTCTATAAAATGACCGATGCGACGTGTCAACATCTAGCAAGTAATCAGACAAGTTTACGTGTAAAATGTCCATTCGATTTACTTTACATTTTTTAGGTGCTGAGAAATATAATTAAACTATTGATATTTATTAATCTTACATTACAAACAGTAGGTATTATTAGAGGAAGAATTTTTTCGGCAATAATACGGATAAATTCCTGGCTTTACATTATTAATAAGATTTCTTACGATAAATAGCAATAAGTACATTTAAATAAAGTACACAAAACTTTATTTTTATTGTAACGAATACAATTATCTTTATTCGTAATTATAATTACGAATGAACGGAAAATAAGTTCACTTCTTTCTGTCTTATTCATTCTTGAATTATTGTAAAGATATCATTTCGGATATTTTCAGGCGTGCGCTAGCAAAAACGAAATGTATCCAATCGATGTTTTTAAAAACTGAAAGAATATAAATATTTATTAACCATATTTTACAAGATATAACTTGTGCAAAATATTACATCGGCTATCCCTTTATCTTACTTTATATATAATGACAATTGTAATATTTAAGCCCTATAATAACAATCATGATACATTTTTTATTATGATTGTTGAATAATAATTTTTAATGTTGATAATATTGTTTAATATTTGAATAATATTCGATTATTTCCCGATATTTATATATTAAATAAAAGATTAATAATTCGATCCTGCTATAAATGTTGCAAAGTATAAAATAAAAGCTATTTAATAATCTTACGCTGCAGAAAGTAGTTATTGTTAGCGGAACAAATCCTCCTGCAGTGATACAAAGAGGTTTTTGGATTCGCATTAATAATATAATAAGATTTTTTGCTTGATTCGATTCCAGTTTGTACCACTCAATATCACACAACGTACGATACATCGCGTCGCACTAAACAAATGTATATATATTATAAATATGAAAAATGTAATAATATATGAGAAAACCATAATTTTATTCCACAGTTTAGATTGCGTCCACAAATATAAAAGAGAAATCATATAATGATAAATTTATTCATTCTAGATTTCAATATTTGCGTGAAAAAATTGTATATAAACCTATATAAAACTATACATTAATATCATTTCGCATTAAAAGCGCCAGGTGAAGTTAGAATAAAATAAATATATTTATGTGACATTCATATATAATTTATTACTTTTTCTGTCATCAACTCTCCGACACCGCAATAGAGAAACATTTGTATAAATAACATTACAACAACAAATACTCTGTAGGCTAATTGGCCTACTATTCCCTTGTCATTTATTTTTCTCTCTGTAATCACCTAAAATGATAGTTTTGGCACATTAATAAAAATCAATTTAAGTCAATATAAATTCAATAATAATAATAGTAATAATATCCAATATATATATATATATATATTGTATAAATTTTTATTTTTAAAATAAGTTAGATATATTTTTTTTAAATAGTTTTACAATAAATTTACGCTATTGTAACTTACAATAAGCGATTGAAATCCATATAGGCAAAATATAATAACAAAATATAATACCAATACAAGCATAATAAAAGTGAATATATCCTCGATGTTATAGGCAAACCTAAACACATATGTATTTAAAGATATAACAATAAAATCAGTGATTATTCAAAAAACGCTTATGTGTAAATATCAAAACTTTTATGCAAAAATTAAATAGTTCGGTTAATAAAACTTATTACAAATAAAAATCACACCTAATGATTTTTATGTGAGTCACAATGTAATTATTCAGTGCTCTGTCAAAATCTCTGCGCGAGACTAAATTGGCTAATCGGTGTCTTAAATTTTCTAGCTGACCACATATGTGAAACACAATAAGTCCAAGAAAAGCGTCTACCGAGAGATAGATGTATGCAATCAAAAATATTGTTAAGGCTTGAGTGAGAAATGTCAATTCAAATTGCGGACTCGGATCTGTGTCATAGAAATAATACGTTTGCATCGGTAAAGGTTTGTTTCGATCTGTAAGATTTGTCAGATATCTGAATGATTGGCCAGTACATAGAGGAATAACGATTAAAGTTAAACCAGACACTATCACAACATATGTATAAATTACAAATAATCGAGCGGCACGTGCATATTTCATCATTATATCTCGCTCTGTGTTTAGTTTTGACATCATCCAATCTTCCGCCATCATGTTTAGGATGGATGAAAGAACTGGAAAATATTGGAAAAATATAGGTAATATGAAGGTGTTGTAATATACATATATAGTTATTAACTATTTATTAATCAATTAATTAAAAAATATTCACATATGTGCAATAAATTATAAATATCTTAATATAATTATTCAATATTTCTTGCACTTATAAATTATGAAAATTTGATGAAGAAATATAATGTAAAATTATCATTATAATTTTTAATTAATATCAAATAATTCCAAACATACCTGTTTGTTTCCATCGCATAATAACAAGTTTCAGCGAAACCATTATTAAAGGCAACGTCATTCGTAAGTTGTCTATCATTAACTCCAAGTTACCCCAAACTCGCACAAGAGCACAAATAGACGGAACACCACAAATAAATATCATCAAAATAAGAATGGAACCCACACGAATGTCAAGATCGATCCTTCTTTTATCAGCACTATTGATTGTAGGCCACAAGCCTATCAATCCCAAACCTAAATGGTTTAATTCAACAGCCCACACGAAATCTGACAAAATAATCTTTTTACGAAAATTGAGGCTAACTATTAAATTTGCATGCAAATGTGTATAAAATCCTAATCTTGACAGAAAAATAATCAAAATAAGCAAAACACGTAAGATTGTGTAACGCAATATTATATATTTATAATGCAACATTACGTTTTAATTAGAAAATCATTACAAAATTATTACAACATAACACATACATTTTATGCGCAAAATTATATGTATAATTGAATTAGTACCTTCGTAAGCCGTGGATCTTGAAACGTCCATGTCATAAAACGATATGAACATAACAAAGGAGATTTTTCCTCTTCTTACCACTTTACGATGTTCATTACGCATGCGCGCATGCGAGTTTTTGACTGTTTTATCCAAGAAGACGCATTAAATATTAAAAGTGCTAACCCTAGTTGAGCGCAATTTTCTTTCTCACAAGTTGGATGGGTAGTCATAAAAAAACGTCTGATCTAATATAAGACAAGAGGTATATTACGTTCTAGCGCACATCGAACATCAAACTTGTTTCAAAAGTTTTTTCAAACCCTTTATAACGCTGCACTACGTGTATTCACTTTGTAACGAGAGATAGTAGCCATGTGATCTAGTGGTAGAAGTTTTCTATTCAGAAAACGTGCGCAAACTCGCAAAGTCGAAGGAAAATAATACGATAAGAAGATATAATGTCGCATTTGCATTTTCTCGTTTAGTGCAAGAGTATATTCGTGCATTAAATGTAATATTAACATTTTAAGTAAATTGTATTGTAACATTTTATTTTGAATGTCATGTAAAAGATATATTAGTTAATAACAAGATGAATGCGGTGCTATCAAGTATATGACTTATAATGTACTGTGTTTTGTGAATGGTGAAAGTTACATGTAAATAATTCATCTAAGGGAAACATAAGATTAACTAATATTACAGAGAAAATCGCACATACCAATAAGTGAAATATCATACACAACAAAATGAAAAATGAGTATCTCAATACTCAAAAATAACTTGAGTAACTTCTTATCAGAAGTGTCTGATTTTCATCTCTTTTATAATCGAAAAAGTTCCTCTAAAATTTCTCTGTATTTATTAATTTGATGCATAATTCCATCCGTATGTGTCTATATATTGTAATTGATCTTTATCTTGGTATTTGGAATCCTTGTTATTTATCTTCCATAACTTTGCTCATGTTTTTCATCATTTTTTTCTCTTTTAAAACGCGAGACTTCTCGTAACAGAGCAGTCATTGTGACAAATTTTATTTGCGTTTTTTTTCTTGGCGGGATTTGCCAACGTTTTACAAAATATGTAATTGTAATTTTACAATACATGCGATAACAATTCAAATAATTTGCCGAATTCTCGCTAGAAAATGATCTGACATATTTTTACATCTTGAAGACTTGGCTATTGTTTATCTTCTTTGTTTTTCTTCTTAACATTAAAATTAATGTACAAAATGCCCAAAACCAGATAAATACACAGGTTGATTTAGAAAAAATTAAAATCACTCTCACTAATATAATCATGTACACAAAAATGCACAAGCACTACAAAGATTTTAAAATATGAAACCATTTTTTTCTTCGAGAACACAATACACAATTCTTCTGTCTTCGGGTTTGAACTTTGTTCCTGTGACGAATAGCACAAACTATTAATGATAATATAATTTATCATAAATATAGCAAATACAATACGGTAAACAATATGTGTTTTATTTCTACAATTACAATTTCCAATATAAAATTGGCAATTACATTTTATTGTTTTCCATATAATATTATATATCTTCAGCTCCGCTTCGCCAATAAAAACGATATGTAGCTAGCTGATGTTTTCAATAGCTGGAAATAGATGTTTTTAGAAAAAATATACTATAAATACAAAATATATTAAATATACATGCACATAAACAAAAAAAATTTTTGTAAACTTAATATTGACTGTACTTTCTCTTATCATATTTGTAACAATTTTTATTTTAATTGTGTGATTAATTGTATTTTCTTGGCCAAAAAATTCTAATGCAAAAATAAATTCAATTTTAAGATGTAACAAAATGAAGTTAAAGACGATTTCTTACGCTGCAAAAAGTAGTCATCGTTAGTGGAATAATTTTTCCCGCAGTGATACGAAAGGGTTCGTTGATTCGCATCATTAATATAATAAGATTCCTCGCCTTTCTCGGCTCTAATTTGTACCACTCAAGTTCGCACAGAGCACGATATGCTGCATTACACTTAACAAGTACAATATATACATAATGATATATGAATATCCACATTTATTTTACAGACCATTCTCAGAAACATTGATAAAAGTACAATTAAAATTGAATTTTATTTGATTTTATAGCATCATTCAATAAAATAGACAAAAAACTTGTTACCTTCAAATATGTATAACAATGTAAGCTTTAATATTTTTTTAGCAATGTGACATTAAGTTTAAATAAAAAATGACAAATAATTATAATTATAAAAATTCTATTAATACGATTATAGAACATAATATTAATATATAAAATAATGATTGATTATAAGATACACACAAAGATAAATTTATATTATATTATATTTATATATGTATAAATATACAACTTACTTGCTGTGTTATAAGCTCTCCGGCACCGCAATAGAGAAATGTATGCGATAATAAGATAAGAGCAGCTACTGCCATGTAGCATGCTTGTGGAAGACCGGCATTAGTAGTCTTTTTGTCAGTGACCACCTGAATAATAATCGATAAATAAATATTATGAATTAAAATTTTTATAATAATATTTTATATAGAATAATAATATTTTATATTTCGAAAATTAGAAAAAAAGTATAAAATGCATTTTTTTAATATTTTAAAATACGCTCACGGTATAATAAAAAACTTACAGTAAGCAATAAAAAACCACATAGGCAGAATACGATACCAAAATAGAGTAACAATCCGAACATCATTAAAGTAAATGTATCTTCAATGTTATTGGCAAATCTATTAATATGTATAAGTAGTAGATATGTTTAAAATAATATCATGTATATTAAAATTTAAAAATGTCTTTGATTCGGTATTGATTATTAAATTTTTAATAGGACGTTTTATAAAAAAATAAATTTTATGAATGTCCGACTAAACATTAATGAAGGGGAGAAAAACAATAATATGCACAACAATATCCGCAAATAAGGCATTGAAAAATGACCATTGAAAGAAACTCCGATATTGTAACTACACAATTTTGTGTTTAATATTATTGTAATTATTTATTACGTTTAATATTATTGTAATTATTTATTTTCCCTCTACTTTGTCAGCCTATTCTATAATGTGCACTCACGATGTTACTTCGACCCTCGCTTCTTCGCGACTGACTAGTATAATATCGTACAATACGATATGTATGTTTCCCTCTCCCTCATCAACATGATATGCCACTAGTTGCTTGAGGGACAATGCTTTGATCTATAGTTTTTGATCGACAGTCAAAACAAACATTTCGCGCATATAAATAAAAAAAAATAATATCCCTGTTTTACAAATTGTAATTAAAAATGTGTACGATAACATAATTTAAGAAATTACAACATGAGTACAGTAATATTAAATTTTTGCAAAAAAAAATTCGATCTCAAGTTGTAAATCTGAGATTGCACTAATTACTAAAAGATAAGTTGATGTTAAATCTCAAATCACGTACGAAGGTTTCGCATTTAAAAAGTAAAATCCTCGTTCAGAAATCAATCTTTTTTTATAAGATTTAGCCGAAATTGTGACATTCTATTGATCATACACGATCAAAGGCCACACCTGATGAGGCGCAAATGAGTCATCACACTGTTACTGAGAGCTTTGTTGAAATCTTTGCACGAGATCAAATTGACTATTCGGTCTCTGAAGTTCTCCAATTGACCGCAGATATGAAGGATCACCAGTCCCAAAAAAGCATCTATCGATGTGTAAATTACAGCTGCCAGGGAAATTGTTATGACCTGAGTGAGAAACGTCAACTCAAATTGCGGACTCGGATCTGTGTCGTAGAAATAATACGTCTGTAGCGGAAAAGGTTTGTTCCGATCCGTGAGATTCGTTACATGTCTGATTTGTATGCCAAAACAGGGAAAAATAATTAGCATGACAAATGCTAATGTCATTATAATGTATCCGAATATTATGAGTAATCGTGCGATTCGTGCTCGTCTTATCATCACATCCCTTTCCGCGGCTAATTTTAACGCCATCCAATCTTCCGCTATCATATTTACGATAGATAACAGAACTTGAACACATAAAAGAAAATAAACAATATTGTTAATAATTTAATAATTATTAATTTAATAATTTAATTTTTTGTAATATGTACGTTGCAATTTTAAATCATAAATAATTCCCAGATCATACTCCAATATGTGATTGTACTAAATCAATAAATCAATAATCAAATCATAAATAAATGAATGTATAATCAATGTATAACTTTTATTACCATCTCGTTTACGATAGATGACAGAACTTGAAAATATTTAAAAAAAAATAAACAATATTGTTAATAATTTAATAATTTAATTTTTTGTAATATGTACGTTGCAATTTTAAATCATAAATAATTCCCAGATCATACTCCAATATGTGATTGTACTAAATCGATAAATCAATAATCAAATCATAAATAAATGAATGTATAATCAATGTATAACTTTTATTACCATCTCGTTTACGATAGATGACAGAACTTGAAAATATTTAAAAAAATTAACAATATTGTTAGGCTGCAAAGATTCTAAATTGATAAGTACTTGAGAAACTAATTAAAAATGGAGACTAATAAGTTTTTAATTGGCAAAATAAAATTTCGTAAACATTTTATAATTGAAAAAATGTATTCTAGTAATAAAAATCAATAAAACCTACTGAACAATTTAACTAAGAAAAAAAATGTAGATTTTGCATCAAGAATAGACTCCAGCCCATACCTGCTTGTTTCGATCGCATGATAATAAATTTCGCCGTAACAACTATAAGAGGTAACGTAATTCGCAAATTGTCTATCATAAGCACCATGTCACCCCAAACTCGTATAAGCGCCCATATAAGGGGAACACCGGAGCCAAGCATCACCATAACAAAGACGAAACCCACTCGAATATTAGACCCGTGACTTTTCTTCGCTTCATCGGTACTGGGCCATAAACCAATTAAGTCCAAACCCAAGCGATGCAATTGAACTGCCCACACGAAATCTAACGATTTTTTTTCTCTTAAATTTGATAAATAATAAGAAGCCTAAACAATATATGTATACATAAATCGCACAAGATTAGTACACATAGAAGAAATAATATAAATTAATTATATAGAGAATTATAACTAATTATAATTATTATTGTTTTATTAATTATATAGATTTGTGACCAAATATTATCAATTCAAATAAAAAACACACATTAAACACATTAAAATCCACTAAAAGCGAGAAATGTATGATATGATATATTTAATACCTTTGTACCCCAAAGATTTCGAAATGTCCATGTCGAAGACTAACACACGAGGAGGAGTTCTTCCCTCTCTGCGATATAAAATGATCATCACGCATGCTCGAGCATATAAGTATAAGTGCATATTTCTACTTGGTGCATTAAATATTACAAATGCTCTCCCCGACAGTTTTTTATTCCATAATAAAACTTTTCGAGCATGAACAGAGAGAAAAGTCATAAATATATAAAAGCAATGATAATAATGTTGCAAGGACTATGTGTTGCATCTCGATATTTTGCAACCTCGTGCAAAACGTATTTTTGCACGTTATAATACTTTACGTACGCATTATCGTATATCGAAAGATAATGCATTAGTAATAAGTCTCTCTGAGGGGACAAAAGAGATAAAGGAAAGAATATTATACAAAAAAAAAACGTATTATATACGATAAAAAATATGTGAGATGTCGCACAAGTTAGCAGCATATAATATAATAATTTGAAAAGTAATAATTTTGTAAAAACATTTTTTCTCGAATATATGATATATGCGAATAGAGAAAAAAAATACAAATTATTCAATTGTTACAATTAATTCTTTTAACATGTATAAAATTAATTATGTCAAATCGGTATGTAAAAGTATATGTATAATGCACACAAAATAATAAAGATAGCAGGACAAATGGAAAATATAAGAAGGTAAATTATTTTTGTTCTATTGCGAATTAATTTTCTGTTCAAAGAAATACGCAAAAATAAGAGAATATATTATTACAATTTTATTTATAGTTGATATTGAAGGTAATAATTAAGACTACATTGACTATTTCATTATTAGATTCAATCAAATTATTGGAGCTGAATAGTTAAATACATATATAATGTAAGTAAATTGTACTAAATACATATAAAACACGGACAGAACACAAGACAATTTTTCTATAATATATTCAAATATTTCAAATAATATTTCAAATTTCAAATAAAAATATTTTAAATACTATCTAGTCCTACACACTCAATGTTTAATGTTATCACTATCATGAAAATTATTGTCACTACCATTATTATTGTAATAATTATATATTAATGCGATTCAATGGCATTAATCACGTCGTGCAAGCAGAACCGATATATAACCACCTGACGTTTTCAATAGCTGAAATAATAAGTAAGCTGTATTTAAAAATCATTATAGCGCATTATTAAAATTACATAAATAATAAGTGTAAAATTCCACGATAAAAAATGAAAATGTACATATTCTTATTATATAGCGCATTATTAATTTTACATATTTTTATGTAATATGTTACACATGTTTTTACAGTGTATCCATGATTAAATTTCTCTTTACAAAAGTAAATATAAATATGAAATTCTTTAATAAAATTAATTAAAATGCATTACAAATTTGTAAATTATACTTCACTTACACTGCAAAAAGCATTCATCGTTAGAGGAAAAATTTTTCCGACTGTTACATAAAGTGGCTTATTTGAGCGCATCATTAATAAAATTAAATTTCTCGCTTGCTTTGGTTTCAATTTGTACCAACAATATTCGCATGCAGCAGAGTAGATATTTTCGCACTATAATACCACATAAATTTATTAGAGTTGATCAATTAGTATTTTTATATTACTTAAAATGTCACAGATTACAGGAGGAAAGAAATTATGTTAAAACTGACGAGAATAAAGATCCTCAATTACACTTGATTTATTTCATTTTAGTAAAAGATGAATTTTATGTTAGTAAATGACAGATCGAAACTATACGTTTACCTGTGTTATTAAAAATTCTCCAACTGCACAATATAAACACATATGTCCGAAAATATTCGCGAGGACTGTTATAAGAAATAACAATCTTACAACAGACAAATGACGATTTTTATCGGTGATGATCTATGATTAATTAAAAAAAGATAATCATGCTAGAAATATACAATTAAATTGACAATTTCAATACAACTTTTTCAAATAAATATAATAATTTCAATCTAAATATATACAATAAAATTAAAATATTATTTGAGACGAATTAAAATCGATAAATATATATATAAAATATCTCGTTATAATCGCGATAAAAAAAATGTCAACTTACTGTAACTAGTAAAAACCCATAAAGACTAAATAATGTACCGAAATAGAGGAATAATCCAAGAAGCATCAAAGTAAACGTACTCTCGATGACTTTAATGCATCTATAATAAAATTCACATTAAAAATAAATGACAAAAAGAGAGAACTGCGTTACTATTTATGTTCATTTGCTTAATCGACCGTCCCTGAAAAATCATAAAATCATCACAATTTTTTAATTTCAGATCCTACAGAAAAGCTGCATAATTTTCTCTATAAAAAAATGGTAGATTATTTTGATTTCCAATCAATTGAGGCAATGAATAAGCACTGTACGAAACCTGATAAGGCGTACATGATCCGAAATCACGTCCGCCAGGATACGATCGAAATTTGAATCCTTCTTGTCCGTCAATCGGTTCTTGAGATTCTGCAGCTGACCGCAGACATGAAAAATCAGCAATCCAAAGAGGCTGTCGATCGCAGTATAACCCATGGCGGATACCATCAGGGTGACACCCTGGGCGAGAAACGTGAGTTCGAAGTACGGACTGGTGTCGGTGTCATAAGGATAGTACGTCTGCAGGGGCAGCGGTTTGCCCGGATCTGACACGTTCGTGATGTATCTTATGGTGATCCCGAGGCTCGGCAAAATGATTAAGAGAATAAACGACGCGAACATCGAGGCGAATCCGCACATTATGATTATACGAGGAATCCGTGCGCATTTTATCATGATTTCCCGCTCCTCGTCGGACTTGAGCCTCAGCCAATCTTTAGCGATCATTTGCACGATCGGAGCGAGAGCTTAAAAGGTATATTATAACGAATAAATTGTTCAATAAGTGAAAAAAGCGAGATTGTTGAGTAAATGGAAGAACACAGATAATTTTTCAATTATAAGATTACTAAAATAAAAAATTTTACCATCATCTGTCATTCCTCTTCACTGAAAAAAATTTGTTAACTTGACTAAACTTTTCAAATAAATATTATTTTGTTCATTGAATATATAAAAATATTTAAATTAAATATAACATATTAAATCTAACAAAACCTGTATTTAATTTAAATACTAATTCATTATAAAGAATAAATAGTTCAACTAACAATAAGTGAAAAAGCGAGATTGTTGGGTAAATGTAAGAACACAGATAATTTTTCAATTATAAGATTACTAAAATAAAAAATTTTATCATCATCTGTCATTCCTTTCACTGAAAAAAATTTGTTAACTTGACTAAACCTTTCAAATAAATATTATTTTGTTCATTGAATATATAAAAATATTTAAATTAAATATAACATATTAAATCTAACAAAACCTGTATTTAATTTAAATACTAATTTATTATAAAGAATAAATAGTTCAACTAACAATAAGTGAAAAAAGCGAGATTGTTGGGTAAATGTAAGAACACAGATAATTTTTCGATAATAAAATTACGAAAATAGAAAATTTTACCATCATTTCTTTACTGAAAATAAATTTGTTAACTTGACTAAACTTTTCAAATAAATATTACTTTGTTAATTGAATATATAAAAATATTTAAATTAAATATAACATATTAAATCTAACAAAACCTGTATTTAATTTAAATACTAATTCATTATAAAGAATAAATAGTTCAACTAACAATAAGTGAAAAAAGCGAGATTGTTGGGTAAATGTAAGAACACAGATAATTTTCGATAATAAAATTACGAAAATAGAAAATTTTACCATCATTTCTTTACTGAAAATAAATTTGTTAACTTGACTAAACTTTTCAAATAAATATTACTTTGTTAATTGAATATATAAAAATATTTAAATAAAATATAACATATTAAACCTAACAAAACCTATATTTAATTTCAATACTAATATATAATCAATTAACAAAATAATATTTATTTGAAAGGTTTAGTCAAGTTAACAAATTTTTTTTCAGTGTTGCTTTCGCTTAATTGTATTATAACATTTAAAGATTTTTAATATTAACGCTATTGTTTTTAAGGAGTCTCTATCTTCCTGTTCAAATGTCTTTTACGAGAAAAATTGCGAAACGTATCTACCAGCTTTTTGTTCCACACGATGATGAGCTTCATTATCATCGAAACCAAAGGTAAAGTGAACTGCAGATTGTCCGTCATCGACATCAGATCTCCCCAAACTCTTATCAGGGAGTGTATGCAGGGAATCGCACAAACAAAGGCTAACATGATTATCAACAGAAATACACGTACATTGGCAATTATCTTTTCCCGCGTCGTTTCTTCCATTTTCGGCCAAAGACCGATAAATTGCAGACTATAGCGATTCAACTCCACCGCCCATTCAAAATCTAGCTGCGACAAAATATCGCGTTTGCGTGAACTCGGGAATTATAATTCAAGGAAACGTTTCAAAACAATTTTTCGTTACAAAAATATTGAGAAACTGGTAAACTCAATTTATAATTAAAATTATTAATCATTATAGCACTCTCTTGATATCTTCATTCGCGCTCTTTTCCCTACCAATTTGGAAAGATCAAGCACTTAAAGCACTTCACCTTACAACACACTTGTAAATTGTATTTGTAATGTTTTTGCAGAAATTATTTAAATCATGATATTTATATAAAAATGTCACCTTATACATATATATGTATACTTTATATAACTCTAAAAATGTCTTCTTTCTCGAATAACATTAATACAAAACAATAATAATTTGATATCATACTGCAGTTTAATAAAAAAATAATTAACTCTTAAAATCCCCAAACAAATATTCTGAAGAATAGAAGAATAAAATATTCTAGAGAATACAAACCTGCGTATCCCGAATGTTTAGCAGCATCCATATCAAAGGCTGACGATGCACTATTTTTCTCCGTAAAAAAAAAATGTTATCCCCACCAGCACGCAATAAATGCATATGCAGGGATCATCGCGAGACATGCATTCAAGCACTAAAGCTTATAAAATAGCCACAGCGCATTGAATATTGTATGTACCGATAACCGCAGTTCGTATCATTAAAATACAATGCATCATTCCCCCTCAGAGAGAGAGTTCGACAAAAGAAAGATATTCGAGAAAACGTTGACTTCAAAGCATCAGCATATCGCGAATAAAATGGAAGCAGTTAAAAAAATACTATTGCATATATGCAAATTGATATGCATTATTAATGGACCCTTATAGAAACCTTCTTCTCCAGTGCGAGATAGTAATTTAAAAACTAGTCGCGATCATGTGAGCAACGGATGCAAAATAAATGGTAAGAAACTAATAAAATATACTTTGTCTTTATCCGAACTGAGAAATTTTTCTCCGATTTTTTATATTTCAATTGCCAATTTAACGCTACTTTAATATTTAAGCAATTACTTGATCACTTTTATAAAATTATTTTCACTCTTATAACTCCCATTTAGAACCGCCACTTGAATTAAAATTTTCTTTCTATTTTGATATTTCTACAGTTTTTTCTCAATCTTTTTTAATATAATTTAATTCATAGAGTTGTGTTATTTTTTTGGCAAATAAAAATTAAATAACTAAAAATTGTATTAGTTTGTACATCCAATTAAAGATGAAAGATTATTCACAAAAGACATAAATTGTGCTCGTTTTTTTTATACGATATATATTTTATTTCTATGAAATAATGAATTCTTTTGCTTTTATCTTTTGCCAAGAACATATTCTTCACATTTACATTTGCATAAAAATATACATTTTCCACGCTTTGTTTCAAGGAGAGTCTCTTTCTCTTAGCACAAATAGCGAAAATCACTTCGGTCACGCCACGTGAAGTCGCCGTCTCAATTAACGCGTGCTTAACTAACCGAGAATTAAACCGTAAATCGACCGAATAATAACTCGCACTTACAACCGTATCGGGATTTAAAAGTCAATTGTTTCAGGTCAACCGTTAATTTCCTGTTTTTTACACTAAAAAAAAATTTCTTAACTCGACTAAATCTTTCAACTAAATTAATACTTTGTTAATTGAACATATATTAGTATTTAAGTCAAATATACGTTTTGTTAGATATAATGTTATATTTTATTTAAATATTTTAATATGTTCAATTAACAAAATCATATTTAGTTGAAAGATTTAGTCAAGTTAACAAATTTTTTTTCAGTATACATCTTTTTTCTCTCATCATCTCGCTCGGCCAGAAAAAAAGTGTACAAATATATTATTGATAGATTTTTTATAAATTAATTCATTTTCGTAATCTACAATATTCGAAGTCAACGTTTCCTTTGATTCTTTTGTTTGAAACCATTCTGTATACTGAAACAAATTGTTAACTTGACTAAAAAATTTCAACTAAATATATTTTGTTAAAATTATAAATATATAAAATATTTAAATTATATATAACATATTAAATCTAACAAAACATATGTATTTGATTTAAATACTAAATATGTTTATAATTAACAAAATAATAATTTAGTTGAAAGATTTAGTCAAGTTAACAATTTTTTTCAGTGATACTTGTAGGACAAAATAAAGCATTTAGATCACGTTTTATTATTTCACGAAGTGTTGGAAATTTCTCTCGGATGAATATCGAACAGCAATCGCTTTCACTATCATAAATCGATGCTATGTAACATTATATTGTTTATTTTACGCTTCACAATTATAATATAAATTGCAAATGGCATCAATGGAAAAAATTAATTTACAAGAAAGAGTAAAATATATAAATCTAATTTTTTATAAAAATATATATTATAGTCTTGCATATATTGCAGTCATAAGCATAATTCAATATATATATATCTATATATATATATATATATATATATATATATATATATACTTTATCTAAGAAAATTTAACATTGTTTCCTCATTTAGATTTTTATAATATGTATTTTTCATGATATTTGTTTTATTTTTTACTTAGTATTATAGTAATAAATATTATAAAATCTATTACATTTAAAAAAATTCGAAGAAAAATATTTTTCGAATAGAATAAATTTTCTATTATTTTCACAAAGTATGTATTAAATATACACCGGAAACTTTTTAAAACACATATTTTCATTGCTTTAATTGCTGTTAATTCAGTGTTCGCTCATTATAAATGAAACAAAATAGGATGTCGGATGACGTACCTCCTATTGGAATTGAAAGGAAATAATTCAGGCGCGAGGACTCTCTCTCTCTCTAGGCAAAAGTTCACCGAACTGGAACATCGAGCTCGTTAAAATGCTCGATCGATGGATTTTCGCGCGATCGCACTTTTTCACCTCGATCATTTCAGATCGCTTTCTCTCGTACTCTCACCGGTCTCCCACTTCCGGTTCGCTCTTGCGCAGGTGCGCGTAATACTATCACCTCGGTCACGTGTGCATGCGCGCGCGCACACGTTCAGCAAATTGTCATGAACTAAATGCCACGGGAGGTTCGTAAGCTTGCCGCTACGTGGCGCTGCTGTCTGATTTGTTGAAATGGATGAATGGCGTATTTACGTGCTCTAACACGGCCCAGCCTCGCCTATGTTTCGCCGCCGTCTCGTTTGCTCGCGCATCGCGTCTCGTTCTGAGAATTTCCACGAGAAGGAGATCCCCCGGTGCGACAATCAGGCCAGGGCGGACGGGCCTCGACGGAGCCGCGTCTACCAGGAATCACGTCGTCGTTCGGTAGGCGTTGCTGCTGTCACTTGGCTTCCTCCTCGTCACAAGCTATCTTTTCCACCTATTTCACGCCACTTTTACGCCTCACACACGCGATACGCCTCTTTTGCAACGTGGATTTGCTATTTTTTTCATAATTGCGAGAAATATTCACGGGAAGGGTCGCAAAGACAAAATAGGCGTGTGCGATCTGACAGCTACAGCATTCTTGTGTTTTTACCTAGATAAATATTAGATTATATGTATACAAATGTGTAGATGGTGAAAATTATTATATTGTATGTCAGGTATGTTTGTTTGTATTGGATATATGTTAATGGTTCTTTTCTTGAAGCAGGGACAATGTTTACCAAGAAGAAAAAGAAACCGCAGATCTCCACGCCGACCAACTTTGAGCACAGGGTGCATACCGGGTTTGACAAACGCGAGGGCAAGTTTGTCGGATTACCTCTGCAATGGGCTTCAATAGTTGGGAATAATCAGATTCTAAAATCGACCAACAGACCACTGCCGTTGGTTGATCCAAGCGAGATCACGCCTACAGAGATCCTTGATTTGAAGACTATCGTAAGAGGACACAATGATCCTAGGATAAATAGACCACTTGCAAATGATAAGACTGAGAATGGTTTGCCTAAGACCAGTACGGTTGCTCGCTCCAATTCTCTGCGCTCTTCGAGTCCACCTCGACTTAGGAGAGATTACAGGTATTGCTGTTAATATAGATCAATAATTTATTAAAATAGTTAATGTAAATAAATTAAGTAGTTTCAAATTTATTATAGATAATCTTTCGATACATTATTTTTAATGAAATTCATGATTATAACATTATTGTAATCGTATCGTCTACTTACAGGCATGCAAGTAATCTTCCACCATCCGTCCCAGAAGGCCAAGAGGTGCCTTCAAATATTAATCAAGCCTTTATCAATTTTAACAAACCACATAACTACATTGATAAATTGAGACAGAATTCTCCGAGTGTTAGCAGCGGCCTAAGTTCCAGCATACAGAACATGATCCCAAATCTTCAAAATCTTAATCCTAATATGCAGTCATCGCCAAACTTAACTCATTCTGGATCAAATGTACCAAATTTATCATTAAATTTCCAAAACCTAAGTCCTATTACTAATTCACAAGCTCCAGTACAAAGTCCAAATAATCCACAATTTCCAGATACAGAATTTCATAGATTAAATTCTCAAATGGCCATGACATCAGCTCAATATAATGGCAATGTACAGGTAATGAATCATAAAATATTGTGCATATATATTTGTTATTATATCTTAAAAAGAATATTTTTTATTTGTATACAATTAAAACTTTAATAATCTTACACAACTTAAGAACATATACATTTATGGTCTTTTTCTATAAATTCATTAACTTAAAATTTAATAATTTGGATCTCTTATTCCTCTTAAATCATATAATTACATATATATTAATTTAATTAGTTCAACTTAGACAAAAAAAGGAGATACACACCTAAACACATTTTAAAAATTAAAATACAAATTATAACATTATCTTTCTCCAATTTCAAGAAAATATATTTAACAAATGTAACACCATTAATCTAATGATAATATTGCTTAATTTATAGGGTTCAGCTGTAGAGGCATCAAGAGAACATCAAATGAGTCAAAATATATTATTACACAAGCTACAGCCAAAAATTTCACCAGTAGGTTCGATAGCCTCGCAAAGGCCATTAAGTCAATTAAGTTCACATAATATTAATAAATATCCTCAGGCATATAATATGTCTGAAAATTCGTCCAACCTCCAGTCACACCTAAAAAAACCAATGGAAACTTCTCAATCAATGCATAACTTATCAAAACCAAACATGCCGTCCACAATATCAGGAAGTGGTTCTACAGATCAAAATCAAAGCATGAAGAGTGCTGTCTCTTCAGGAAATTTGGCTGTTGGTACAAGTGCAAACAATACCAATAAGCAAACAGAGCAGAGACTTACACATGAACAGTTTAGGGCTGCTTTACAGATGGTGGTATGTAGAATTTACATTAAAAAAAATTTATTACATTACTATAGCTGTACTATAGAGATATACATTAAAGATTACATTTTCATGAAAGAACACATTTTTAGATTTATCAGATTAGATATCTTCACCTCTTAAACAATTGAAACAAATTTTATACTCTGGGATTTAACTTCACTATACGATATATAATAATTTTCATATATATATGCATTTAGGTAAGCCAAGGTGATCCGAGAGAAAATTTGGAGAATTTCCTGAAAATCGGTGAAGGTAGCACAGGAACTGTGTGCATAGCCACAGATAAGAGTACAAATCGTCAAGTCGCAGTTAAAAAAATGGATTTGAGAAAACAACAAAGACGCGAATTGCTTTTCAACGAGGTTGTCATTATGCGAGACTATCATCATGCAAATATAGTCGAGATGTATGATAGTTTCTTAGTAGACGATGAATTGTGGGTTGTTATGGAATATCTGGAAGGAGGTGCATTAACTGATATTGTAACACACTCAAGAATGGATGAAAGTCAAATAGCGACAGTGTGTTCTCAATGCCTCAAACCATTGGCATTCTTACACTCACAGGGTGTTATACACAGGGATATTAAATCAGATTCGATATTGCTCACGGCAGATGGCAGAGTAAAACTGTCAGATTTTGGCTTCTGTGCTCAAGTCTCTCAAGAATTACCAAAGCGAAAATCTCTTGTAGGAACCCCATATTGGATGAGTCCTGAAGTCATTTCAAGGTATTTTACACATTTATATTAACTACTTTTAAGATTAAATGGTGTAAATGTCATACTCACTCTTATCATTTTTAAATCATTAATATATTACTAAAACTAGTAAAAGCATTAATTTATAATTGCAGATTATTGCAATTAGATTATAAAATATATGACAGTCATTTTCTATTCGTTTTGTAATATTGTTTTAAAATGTGAATTAAAAAATAGCATTTTTATTGGCATGCGCTTGAAGTATTATGATTATTTTAATTGTTAGATAAATATATAACTAAGAAATTTTCGTTGTATCTCCATTTATAGGTTGCCATATGGACCTGAAGTGGATATCTGGTCATTAGGAATAATGATCATTGAGATGATTGATGGCGAGCCACCATTTTTCAATGAACCACCCCTACAAGCCATGAGACGTATCAGGGATATGCCACCACCAAAATTAAAGAATTTTCACAAAGTAAATATCTCTGTTATGAAATTAGACATAAGCATACACATTGCTTCAACATTTTAAAACATACTTATAAATTCAAAATACAAGTATAATATATATATTATAATATTTTCTCTTTAATTGCAGGTCAGTCCACGTCTTCAAGGTTTTCTTGAACGAATGCTTGTGCGTGATCCAGCACAGCGGGCTACGGCAGCTGAATTATTACAACATCCATTCCTCAGGCAAGCTCAAAGTCCTAGTATCTTGATTCCATTAATGAGAGGTGCTAGGCATACAAATTGTTGATAAGATAATAATTTTGTAAGTTAGAATGTTAATCAAGGCAGATATTGATTACAAGAATAATATGATATCCTCAACTGGATATCATTGTTAATCTATTGCAGCTCGTGTTAAAGTTGCTACATTTGGCAGTTTATGAGTTGGTTTAGACATTGTCTTCTGACTTCCTCTCATGCGTAGGACTTCAAAGTCCTTTTTTTATTTTCTTGACGCGATAGGCACGATCGATTATGAGAATTATATTTACTTAGTTTCAAATAATTTAGTTAAAAATATCTAAACGAGATGTAGTTTAAACGTATTACTTTTTATTTTCTTTTTTCTGCTTCTAATTATATACTTTAAATTCTAATTTTAAATTTTAAAACGTCGAGTCACATGTGAATAACAGTGAATCTTATATTAATTTATAAAAATTTAAGAATTTTTTCTCTCTTCTTTATATCATATAAAATAGAATTAAATATAAATACAAAAAAATGTGTGCAAAACAATATAAAATTTAAATAAAAATTAAAAATTTCATTGGCATTGAATATCAGAGAAATATTTAAAAATCTCTACATTACTTTGTGTGAAGCCAAAGCCATATGTTATTCAATAATTTGCAGCTTAGTTTCTCTTAGACTTTTATATATAAATCTTAAGGCTTTAATATAAATCAATTCCTTTGATCGTGCCTTATATATGTATGTAATAAATAAATTATATATCTATATTTTTTCAGACAGTATTCTACGAAAAAATTATAATTATTTTTTTTGAACTTTACATTCCATTCGAGTCTGAGCTTGTGCTTTTGTATTATTTTGAAAGTAAGCTACTACATTCCTGCATTGTTTTATACAAATTATTTTAATTTTGCATTTATAAGAATGATGTAATATGTCGAAACATTCCTCAAGTATTGGCACTGCCCGCTTGATCCGCAGTAATTATTTTAATGTTATGACAGATATTTATAACTTTGAAGTATTTACAAAACGAATTTTCACCTAAGTGCCTTTATAATAAACAGTGTCGCAACAATTAACTTATTACTGCAAAACAATAAAATAAAACAGTATATTTGTTTGTACAAAGTACTTAGTAAAGTAATTTTTCTTTTTCTTTTATTATTTTTTTCTTGCTAAATTTATAGGAACTCACAATCAAACTTAGACAGCTATTTTATTCCATTTTTCGAAGTAATATGTAAATTTTTGTTTTCTTTTACGTTATTATTGCATTAATTGTGAATTTTTGTAATATTGTAATTTCCTAAAAAGCGTGAACGCTAACAGTTGATCAGATGGAAAGCTTTAAAGAGTAGAATATATATATATATATATTTGACTATTATCTTTTATACAACTGTTGCACATAATTAGACTATTTGCTTAAACAAACATTTTATATATTTGAGAACAGGGTTATGATATGTATTATTTAAAATAGTCTAAATAAAATGTGAAAAAATGTATGTAGATCCATATGGAAATGCCTTTAATAAGAAGAAATCATTTTTCGATATTAGTGTGTAAAAAACAGAAATGTTGTGTAGTGACATAAACAGAAGATAGAAAATCGTGATCCTTTGATAGTAATAAATTGTGTACATGTAAGATGTATATTTTTTTTCATCATGTTGTATTTTTTGTACGATTGAGATTATTATATACCGTAATTTTAATTAGGAGTGTTTGTGAATTGTATCATTTCTATTGCTGTTTAATTTAGGAATTACAGAATAAACGACAATTATGCATTAGTCGTTTGGTTATTGATAACAGTTTCAGATATCTAATGTGCATTTAATTGAAATTATTACATACTGTTCATCAAAAGGCATACATGATTAGGACCTATAAATTACTAAAAAGCAATATTAGTCAGCAGCTTTTAAAAAGTATGGAAATATTTGTGAAACAGTGTATAAAACCTGCAATCATATCAAATAGATCTGTCCGACTATACTCGCCATATATTTAAGCAGTTACTTTAGAATATTATAATCAAACTAATAAACAAAATCACCGTATCTCTTACACATATCACACACAGTTACAGTTTAGAAAATATTCTGTATATAATAGAAATTCGAATTCCAGCGTGATCTGACTAAATGAGCGCCGTATTTGCAAATTTTAAATGTACTATAGTGTCCAAAAATTGTTCATTTCATATATGCAGGACTATTTTACACATGTTGTACATTTATTGCGTAATAAAAGAATCTATTTACAAAAATATACCTATATGAAGAATTCAATGCTATTGACAAATCCCGAACATGTGTCATCTTATATAATATTATAATTTTTGTTTTAAATAATTAACATGAGAATGCGGGACTTTTTATCATAAAAAAATTTTTTTATATAAATAAAAATAATTTTTACCGTTCTAAAATATGATTGCCATTTATTGTTATACAATATATCATAATGTTATCTATTATCTGTCATATCAATGTATATATTATTTGTGCAATAACAAAATAGTTACATTATTCTATAATGATATAAGAATATAAGAAACATTTTTACCTGAAACGTTACTTGAAATTTATTTCAAAAATCTAAAGTCTTTTTAAAGAAATCTGAAGTTATAACATGACTGTTTGACATAAGCGCTAGAAAATGAAAAAAGGAAAAAACAATACTGCAACAGAATGTAAAATGAGATTTTTTTTGCAAATAAAAACAATGAATAACAATTTCGTGTGCAGTAAACATGTGAGACATGAAATTAGATTACGAAACTTTGTGTCAGCTATAAACATTTATTTAAAAAAATTAAATGTTCAAAAAGATATTACCAACTATTAACAATTACAGGTAGTTTCGACATTTTTTACTTTATTTAATAATTAATAAATATATTTCTGCTTGCGTTAAAAAAAACGTTTTCTTAAGAATTAATAATTGAATAAAAATTGTAAGAAAACATGACATGGATGGAAAAGTTTTGAGAAATAAAATTCTAAAAAGAAAGATATGTTGAAGAGATCTTTTCTAAATGACTATCTTAAAAGTACAAATGCTTAAAACTTAAAACATTTTATAAAATTTAATAACTTTAATTTCGTTATCTTAAAAATTTCATTTATTTTTCGTCTTCAAATTTCTTGTTTCTTTTTTCCAATAGTCATTATATTGAAAATAATGATGACAATAATGTATAACAAATAAAATAAAGATGCAAAATATCGAATATCCACAGAACACAAAATAATTCTTATGCATCTTAAAATATTTTATTATTAAAAAAATTGAAATAAAAAATTGTAATTAAATCGTTAATTTGCAGGGTTAATTGAAAAATTCTAAAGAGTTTGAAAAGAAGCAAGAGATGAGAGTTGCATTTTTTTTTTAAGTAAAAAATGTTTGGTTTAAATTTAAACTTCCGATTTCGAGATATACATTTATATAGAATAAATTTCTATCCAATCTATTTTTTCACACCGATGTCACGGTCACGCGGTTTCTCTCTCTCTCACGTGGTCTTCGACCGAGATTTCAGCGGTATCTTTTGACGTAATCCGACGTCAAAGGAATTCAACGTCGGGAGAGACTTCGTTTTACTCGGTTCTCCCTCTACGATGGCAATCGCATGCGATTTGCTGTTACCATGCAGCACATTCCTGGCTGAAAGGCGTTCTGGAACGGCCAACGTCGATTGGTTCTCCACGACGAGCCCCTGCATGACCGGAATGACCTTCGCATACTGGTCTGATATCCATTGGCGCCACTGATGATTCTTGCGAATTGGATTGATGAACTTATTTAACAGCTCGTTTCATCCGAAACGATCTCTCTCCTTTTTTGTCTATCTCTCTTCTAAATCTAGTGCGCAAATAGATATGCTGAAGAGATGTGTCCTACGACCTAACTCGCTGAGAGCGATGAAGAACGATTCATCGGATAAGATCGACGCGCGCGATAAATTTTCATCGAAATGTTCGAAACCGTCTGTTTATTTCTGCCGATTTATTGTTCACCGAATCGGACGATACGCAAAAGTCGAATCTTGCGCAATATGCAAGGTCGCCGTTGAATATTTAAGCAAGACGCAATATTACGTTTTTTTTGTCAATTCAAGCACTATGACATCGAATTATATTTTTCCAATTCAAATTTATATAGTATAATTCGTGTCACGCTCTTTTGCAAAAAGATACTATCTTTTGCTGTTCAATTAAAAAAAAAATGTTCAATTTAATATTTTATTTGTTCATTTTTTTTAATTTATATAAAATAACAAATAAGGAAATAACAAAAATTTTGTTTTTATATAGGAATGTATTTTTCTTTGTAATTAGAATTATAAGAAAAATAAAAATTAATAGTACGTTTACTTATTTCATCATTCTTATAAAAATGACATACATCATAGAAGAAGCTCTTACTAAAATTTAACTAAAAATTCAGCATATCGATTATTTTTTATCAATTCTAAAACTTATGTGAAAGCTTATCTTAACTTAAATTATCTGATATATTATCTGATATATAGCTATCCTTTTTATGTAGCCTTAAATTTTATGTGAATCTTATTAGACAAATTTTATGTCTAATAGTATATATATAGAATTGCATCAAATTATTTCATTATTATAAAAAAATTGCACAAATGTGATATCAAATAGATAAATAATTGCTATATCGAAAACGCGCTCTTTATACAATCGTCATTTTATCGTCATATGTCAGTTGACCGTCTGTGTAATAAAAATCTAAATCTTCGCGACGTTGAAAATAATTTTAATCATTTTATAATTGTAATTCAGAATTTCAATATTTCTCATTATTAGATCCACAATCGCCACGCCAATGTAACGGGTTGGTAACAGGACGCTCATCTTGCTCTACTATCAGCGATATAACGCAGGAATATATCGTGACCGAAGCTACGATGCTCGAGAGATTCGTGGGACGATTCAGAATTTTTTGCAATTAAGCCCTTTTGATGTCAGGGAACCTGCAGACATGAAAGTGCCGGAAAGATGGTCGCCGCGACATCTCATCAGAGATGTGATTTCGACCGACGTGTCATTTCGTCATGTAAGTATATGGCACACATAAATATCCCATAAGCAAGGTAATTTGATTTTTCAAACTAAATTAAGTTCAAGTTAATGGTTTATAAAATTATTTTTTAATTAAAGAGTTTCCGCGCAAAGAAATCGCAATAGATTCCCTCTATATCTTCCAATTTTTTCGAATTTTTTTTTTTTTTTTTTTTTTTCAAAGTGGACTTTGACGCGTTCGGCGATTATCTTCAGTTCTTTGTGCCAAACGATATCTAAATATT